CCTCTCCATCCATTTGTAAAACTCTCTGAAGAACAGTGTCAGGCAAAATTGTGTTCAGTGTAGATCTAGTATACATATTACAGTACAGTAAAAGATTATTAGACAGTATGCAAGATCACAATGCTAAGGTGAATACATACCTCTGCATAATCATGCCGCAGTCGTTTCACCCTTTCGGAATTGCGCTCGAAAGGCACTCGATAAATTTTCTTCATTTGAATATGTTTTTTTATTAGGATGCGTGCCAGTGTTGATGTTGAGACCTGATGGATATTGTTGAAACCGACGTGGTTATTGACAATGTTAGCTTGGAGCTGTTTGAGGGTTATAGCATTGTTGGCCAAAACCATGTTTACTATCTCCCTCTCTTGCTGTTCTGTGAACATAGGAGGCCTTCCCCCTCGTCGTTCCTGACCCTCAATCCTATGTAGGAAAAAAAACAGTAAACAATAGTACAGTAATTTCACAGGAAAAGGTAACAGAAGTGATGATAGTGCATAGAATACAGTACTGTAGGCAGTTGCTGAAACCGTGCAGATGTTTTTGATATGATGATATTTTTACAATACCTATTTTCCAGTCGAAATGTTCTTATCACACTTGCCACTGTGTATCGGCTTAGATTTGGCTGTACTCTCAGTCCAGCCCCCCTCATCGTCAGGCCGTGGTTGACAACGTGGTCAACCAGTGTTGCGCGGATCTCATTTGTCAGATTCGGTCCTCTTTGAGCACGTTCTTGTCTTCCTCTTCCTCTACCTATACCTCCAGCATGGCCTCCATCTCTTCCTCTTCTGTTGATTCCTCCTCTGTTGATTCCTCTTCCTCCCCTTCCTCCTCTTCCTCCTTGTCCTTCTCCTCCTCCTTGTCCTTCTCCTCCTCCTTCTCCTCCACCTCATCTTACTATTTCTCTGACTCTTTCCATTGTGCTTGAAGACCGATGAACTCACCTGCTGCTTTTTATAGTGCTTATACGCCTGATTGGTGTGTCTACAATTAAGCAAACAAGTGTTTGCACACCTGATGACTGTGTTGAATCAATTGGTTGGAAGGTGTGTTAATTTGACAGTCAGTGCTTTGGTATTACAAGGAAGAGACTTCATAATAGATTTTTGTGTGTAATGTATGTTAAGTGTGTTTAGTGTTTTGCAAATCACTGTGTGTAGAGTTTTGCAACAAGTGTGAGGTTGACAATGTGCTTATAGTTGTGCAAATAAGGGCTGATGTTTTGCTTCTTGGGTGTAAGGTTTTGCTAATAGTGTACTACTTTTAACTTTAGTGTGTAAGCAATCCAAAAAAACTGTAATGAAATAGCGTCACCGGGGACCCCTCTGGCACATAAAAAGACTTTTTTTTTCTCATATTAAACTGAAAACTGTAATATTTTTTTAAAAATCAGTTAACTTGTTTTTTTTTTTCAGTGGCCCTAATCCTCTTCCATATATACTCTATTATAGCCCATGGATACTTTTTATATGACTGTCCTCAGCTGCTTAACCTAACATTTGACCTAACATTTAAACTTTTATTCAGGTATTTAGCAAGAGTCCACTTTTAAAGGTGCACATGCAAATGCACTATAGCAAAAAACAAGAAGCTGATACTCATCATTTTAGAATAGGTCCACAGTAGCAGTGAAAGAAGACATTATTTTCCTCTGTCTAAAAAAAACAAAAACAAATATTTAACATGACTGAAGGATAACAGCACTAGTAATTATAGTAATAAATAAAATCTTAATTTAGATATATATTTTTAGATGCAGGCATGAGGTAACAGTAGTGAAATTATTTTTCTATAAAGCATGGGTAGCCATGTACAGTACCTCAGCTAAAAACTGGTCCAAGAATACAGGAGAGAAACACACAAATGTTGGCAATAAACACCAAAGTTCAAAAATAACAGCAGGATATCTGCTGACCGGCAGAAGCATATAAAGAAAAAATAATCAATGTAACATGTTCTTTAGCGGACGTGCCTTCTGGCAGCAGGGCAGAGATGTATTGGAAGATGACTGATGAAAAAAGGAAAGGCGTAGTAACTTTAAAAGTGAACATTGTGTTTCTCTCCTTTGTTTAAACGTGGAGCTGGTTTAACAAGAAAATAGTTTAAAGCTCCACCTCCCATTCTACCGGCTACTCTAATAAGAAACTACTAAGTGAAAACTTATTTTTTCAGATAATTTATACCCATAAACTTATATCCTGGTGTCAGTTCAACTGAAGCATTAGTAGTGATGTGGCTGTCATATTCACTTGTTGTTGGGATAAAATTAAAGGTCATTGCACCAGTTCACCCAGAGACTATAGGTCAAAAAATGTAAAACCATCCACGCTGTAGTTTCTCCATGTCTTAAATTCCTCAATGTGGTTTTTAGTTGGTTCCTAAATAACCATGACGTTCTTTGGTCGGTTAGTCTAGGTTGGTCACAGATTAGATGCAACCCCCACCCCCAAATGTAAAAGGCACCGCTGGGATTCGAACCCAGGATCTCCTGTTTACTAGACAGGCGCTTTAACCAACTAAGCCACGGCGCCATGGAAAACTGCTACATAACGTGTGATTTTTATTATGATGCGATATACACATTTTGTTTTGTAGGATTATTTGATTTGGATGCATTTACACGTGGATTAATTTTATCAGATAAACTTTTTCTGCAGATTAATTACATTCTTCCGTGATTGTCTTTCTCGCTCATGTAAGCCACAGACAGGATGGTGGTGCACCAGCAAAAGCTAAAAAAGTTGCTGCCTCCATCAAACTACTCACAGATTGGATTTGGATTCTCAATAAAGAAATATATATAGGATTAATCTGTTTTTATGACTTATAGTCTGACACATATTACATGATCATCATAGAAAATATTCTTTATCAGAGGAGAGAGAATAAAGAGAATACAATTTACAATTCTATATAGGCCTATTCGCTTCTTTGTTATTTAAAAGTCATTGTTCTGCTGCTTTGAAGTTCCTAATGACCAAAATGGCCTCCATCATTTGAACATGGAAGAAGCTTTGAATTAAGACTCTAATTTTGTTCAGTGTAGAGATGATGATGATGACTTCCCAGAATGTACAAACATTTCTGCAGCAATCAATTAATCAGATCTCTTTGATAAAAAGGACAACTTTTTTAATCTTATTTCTTTCTTTTTTCTTTTTTTTTTCCAGAAAGGCACTTGGAAGATTCTCAGACCATGAGAAACAAAATTTCTTGGTCTGACGAGACAAAGATTTAACTCTTTGGTGTGAATGCCAGCGGTCATGTCAAGAAGAAACCAGACTTTGCTCATCACCTGGCCAATCCCTGCAGTGAAGCTCGGTAGCGGCAGCATCATGCAATGGAGAAGTTTTTTAACCGATGAACCGGGCAGACTAGTTAGATAGAGGGGAAAATGAATTCAGCAATATACATGTTAAAGTCCAGGATTGATTCCAACTGAGAATCTCTTGAGAGATGCAATAGGGGCTCAACTATACCTGATTAAGCTTGAGATGTACTGCAAAGAGGAATAAGCCAAAATGTCTAAAGGTGTGCTAAACATGTTGCTTCATATTCTGAAAAAATAAGGCTGCAATTCCTGCCAAAGGGTGAACAAAAAATAATTAGGAAAAGTTCTGAATACTTATGTTATTTATTAAAATTCTAAGAAAACAGATTAATGTTATACCAAGAAGCTACTAGCTAACTAAATGTGAAAAGATACAGGGCTGTTAATACTTTTGTAATGTATGTTTACAATATATATCTCCAGTGCTGTTTAATTAACATAGTAATAACATCTTTCAACACAAAAATATGTGGTCATATAAAAAAACACACAAAGACTCAATGTTAAAGTAAATGTTGTTTGATAGATCTTTCAAAAGAGTAGCAACATGTTAAATGATATAAAAAAAACTGAACAAAAGCAAATATAAATAATATGGGATATTAGAAATAGGTATAAAATAATAATAATAATAAAAAAAAATTAAATATTGATTTTTATAGGTCTAATGAAAACAAAGCAACACCGAAAAAAATACCTATTTTATTAAAAACAAATGTGAGAAGGTTAATTTACAAAATTCGAACAAGTTTTATCCAAATACTAAAGAATCTGAATTTAGTTTAGAAAATCAAATTAATGAACTTTCAAGTGATTTTGATTCGAGATGCACATTTTCCTTCTTCTCTCTTAAAGATGTGCACTACTGTCACTGACTGGTATGAAGCATTGTTCGTTATGATTTTAATGTTTCAATTAATCAATAATTTGTATGTTTTATCCCTAAACTCCTTCATAATGTATGTAATGTATTAAGAGGTCTTTAGGTCTTTCATATTCTTTCTTCATGAATTTTCTTTCTTGCTACTATTTCTAACATTTTAATATCTCTACTTCTCTTGGCTCCTCCCCCCCACGGTTTCTTTGTGTTATGCTTTTTCACTTTAACTAGTTTAGAAAAAGAGTAAAGTGCTGTATGTCCAAATCTTATTATCGTCATTTAAATGTCCTCCTTTTTTTTGGAATTTTTCTTTTATTTTTGATTCAATAAAGCTTTCCTCCTTATTTTCCTCATATCATATTTCCTATCTCTTCTGCCATACTTTCTTTTGTTTAATGATATGTCTTGTCTCTGATTTACATATAAGCTTACATAATTTAGAGTTATCTTCTTTGACATCTTATCTGCCTATATATCTACATTCCCTTTTATCCCAATTTTTGCATTGGGATCTAAATAACGATGTATGTTAAATACAATATTCGACCTGCTTTCAAATTGTGTCTTGAACTTAATCATGTAGTTTATAAGTTTATATAACTTAATAATAACATTTATTTATTTATTTATTTATTTATTTATTTATTTATTTATTTATTTATTTATTTATTTATTTATTTATTTATTTATTTATTTATTTATGTGACCTGCGGGTTAAATTCATGAAATGCTTCACTTCCTTATTGACAGTTCATCCAGCCAATCAGCGCTAGGGGCGGGCTTTCATTCTTAGTTGTGTTTCCGGGTTCCTACACATGCACGTGCGGGGGTCGCAGTTTTTGATATCGTTCCGTCCTTTGCTGTATATTAACTCAAACAGGTAAAACAGACCTACGTGTTGATAAATTCCAGCGCTTAGCACTTTTATTCGCATGTTGTTTTATTGTGGTCCTGTAAAGATTAGCTAAGCTCTATGCGCGTTAGCACTAGCTAGTTTCTGAGTTTTAAAATCACTCTGATGGTTTTTGTGCATTATCAGGGTCAAGCTCACGGCTATTAAGAAGTCTCTGCAGGCGACTGTTTGGTGGAAGATAAGAGGTGTAATCCACTTTCTTTCCCTCCGTCCTCCGCTTCATCCTCAGCCTTTTAAACAGTAGGTGTTTGTATTTAGTTTTTGTTTGTCTCTATATAACTGAATATGTTTGCTGCCATGATGAATATTGACTGTCATATACAAACAAAGCAAGTTAACAAACCGTGATATAGGAGTATTTGTGTGTGAGTTTCATATTTATTCCCCCATCTTGTCCCTCTCCCTCTCCCTCTTCCTATCACCTCCTCCTTCCCCAAAGTAAGGAGTTGTACAGCAGTTTGTTGGTCATGCACTTGGGGAGGAACAATCTCCCACTGATCAGGCTCCTCTGAATGGAGAACATGGTGTACTGTCTGGCATTGTTAATAATGTCCAGCAATTTAAGTGCACAATGCAATATATATATATATATTGAATATTCTAATATCTGACAGAGTTTAATTATTCTTTATCTGTTTGTTCTTTCATCCCCTTTATTGTTTGGAAACTTTAGCACATGTGTCCCTTAGATCTACAACTGTTGTGGACATAGTGTGTAAATAAAATTGTGCATGGATCATTTTGTCTCTTATCGCCATTGGAGAATCTGATTTTAAAACTTTGAATAAAACATATGTCTCTTTGAAAAGAAAACAACATAAATTTTGTCTGTGCCATAGCTTGGCTCTGATGGCTGAGTCAGAGCCCGTGTCAAACCCCACCCCGGTTGGAGAGAAGAGAAGCTGCCTGCAGGAAGGGGACGGAGAGACGCCAACGAAGAGGCCAAAAGTAGAGTGTGATGGTGAAGATGGGAATGGTCCCATTCCAGAAGATGGAGGTGAGGAGGCGCCGGAAGGAGAGGCGAGTGATGGAGAGGAAGATGGAGAGAGCTTTGCTGACATGATGAAGCACGGCCTGACTGAGAAGGATGTCGGCATCCTGAAGTACATCAGTGATCATGAGGGTTTCTCTGGAATCCTGAAGGAAAGGTCTGGATATCCTCTGGCATAAGTCAACATGTTTCTGCATATAATTTACTTCAAGCAGACGTGTTTTGTTTTGTTAAACTGACCTTTTCTTATCCTTTATTTTTAGGTATTCTGATTTTGTTGTGCATGAAATCAACAAACAAGGAAAGCAAGTGCATTTAGACGATCTCTCCATCCCAACAGACAATAAGGTAAGACAGTTGTCTTTCATCCACTGACAGATAAGCCTTAATTGTATCTATTTAATACGGATGTCCCAATCAGGTTGTTCTCTACCCAACACAAAACATTTATCTAAAAAGGCGTTTCTTATGTATTCGGTCCAATTCTTTATTAAAACCAATGTCTGACTTAAATTTTGTTGCCTTAAAGTGCAATAAACCAAAATCAACTATATTTTGTCTTGGGCTGAAACAATTAGACTTAATCGTGATTAATCAAGTATTGAAATAATCATCCTCTTTTCTTTTTTTTTTTGTAAAAAAATGTTAGCTGGAGTGTAGAGACTCTAAAACTGGCATTTAGCTGACAGAGCAACCCACCTTAAGCAGCAATTATGCCAAAATTCTAAAAAATGCAAATGTATTGCATTTGGTTGCACAAACATAGACGTATCACCCACTGAGGCATCAGTAGTTGAGTTTTCTCAAGTACTGATGCCTCAGTAATAATTTCCCATAATTTTTTTTAAGAAATGGACTTACCTGATTGTGTTCTGTAAATAAATGCTGGGATTATGGCTGAAACAATTAATTGGATTAATTGTGATTAATAAAGTATTGAATTAATCTTCAACTAAATTATAAGGTTTAGAGACTGCAAAAGATGCCTTTAGCTGACGGAGAAATCCACTTAGAGCTGTAATTTTATCAAAATTGTAAAAAAAAAAAAAATATATATATATATATAAAACATTCTGCATTCAAGATTAAAAAAAACTTTTTTGTCCGTCAATATGCTCTATCCAGAACTCATCAAGTGGAAAAGTTTTAGTTTCACCTCTTTAACTACGTTTAAAATCTTCTTTACAGAACATGCTGGTGAAGATTCTCAGTCAACCAGGTCATAGTCATTCCAAAAAGTTAAAAAAAACAATCCACTGGATTTAGTTTCCAAGTTTGTAGACGTTTCGCTTCCCATCCAGGAAACTTTTTCAATTCAAAATGTCTGGAATAGTGTTAAGTTTGAGGTTTTATTCAGTAGCCCAACTCTAACTTTGGCTATCTGATTAGTAATTGGTTAATTGAAAAATTATCAACAGATTAATCGATTTGCAAAATAATCATTAGTTGGATAGTATTTACTTTTTGTTTTCTATCTTAACCCAAACCCATTTCAGTGCATTTGATTGTATTCTATATTTTGAACATACAATTAATATCTTTAGTGTCCATGGTGACATAGGCTACGTTCACACTGCAGGCCTTGATGCTCAATTCCGATTTTTTCGCGAAATCTGATTTTTTTACGTTGCTTGTGTGTGATCTCCTGTGCTAACTGCATTCATACAACGCAAGTGTCCTCCATGCACAGTAGAGGACGCAATGACGTCACAGGCCAGCGTGTTCTTTTTTTTTTTTTTTTCGGAAGTAAACATGGATGGTAGTGCCGCCGAGCATCTAGCAGTCTTTTCCAACAATAAAAACACAATATTTTCAATATGGTTAAACATAAATACTGCTCTCTGCATCATCATCATCTGCCATGTTTTTTTTTTTTTTTTTTTTTTTTTGCCGTGTCTGCGTATCGTATCGGATTCAGGACCACATAGCCAAGTGGCCTGGGTCGGATTGGAAAAAATCACATCGGTGTTGTTGAGACTGCCATGAAAAGATCAGATCCAGGTCGCATATGGGCAAAAAAAAAATTGGATTTGAGTCACTTCAGGCTGCAATGTGAACATAGCCATAGTCAGAGATTTGAGATTAATCCTATTAGCTGAATTGACAAGGTGGTCCAAATGTTTCTGTTGTCATCTTGTCTTTTATTAAATTTTTTATAGGAAGAAGCAGAAACTAAACAACCAGATGTTTGTGAAGTTCTGACTGAGGAGCAGAAACAGCAGCTTGGTGAGCTGCAGCTTTTTAAGAATAAAGAAGGCAATGTCTCGATCGAGGTGAGCCTAAAGGAGACCAGCTGATGTTTGAGTGTCTAGCTTAAAGCTCCAACTCTTCACTAAAGTCTAATGAGGTTTCTTCATAATGTTTCTAGCCTTCTTTTTCACTTGTGTAGATCCTAGATGACACAAAGGAGAAAAGAACACTTATCCATAAGGCCATCAAAACTCATTATCCTGGTCTGGAAACAAAGACTGAAGAGAAGGAAGGTCGGAAGTTCATAGTGGCTTACCATGCTGCAGGGAAGAAGGCTTTAGCAGGTGTGTGGAAGGCAAACAAAACAGAACCAGGACATTTTCAACATTTTCAAGAGGGTTTACTGCATGTTCTATTTAACGTTAATCAAACTGCAGTGTGCAGTACCTTGCACAGCTATTCAGACCTACCTTATTTTAAAAACTGCTTAAAAAATGCATCTTATGCAATAAACCAACACAAAGTAGAGCCTTTTTGTGAAGGCAGAGGGAAATGATGCACAGATTTGTCTTTTGCAAAAAAAACAAACAAACAAAAAGTGTGGTAGGTGTTTGGTGATAGAAAAGCTGTTGACAAAATGTGGGGATGAGTGCAACTGCAAGGTGTTGCATTTAGTGGCAAATAATGCATGCATATGTGCATGATCAACACGTCTGCATGTCTCTGCTCAGATGTGTCCCACTATTCTTAGTTATGGAACGGCCTTTTTATCTTAATACTTTATTATTTTTATCAAATATTTTTGGACATCAAATCCTTTGTAGAAACGCTGAAACTGGGTTCAGTTCTGCCAGTCTCATGCATGATCTGCATCCTAATATGGCAACTGGTCCTTTGGTTTGTTAGAGCCTCCGTAACATTATTTTATCCTCCTTTTGCTCTTCTCATATGGATAGAGGTCAAAGCAACAACAGGTAAGAACTGATTCTCCGTGCAAGACAGAGAAGCTGGGTGGAAATCATGAGTTACTATAAAATTGTAAAATCAGATATTTTAAAAAACAGTCTGCTTAACTGATTCACATCTTTAAAGAAAAGGAAAAAAAGGGATTTTTTATTTATTTATGTTTTTAGTTTGAATACTTAAAGCTATTTTATATGTGTCTCATTATTGCTTTTTCTGTCTCCACCAAAGCTCCAAGGAAGCACTTTTGGCCTCAAAACCGAGGCGTCTTCTGCCATTTTGTTCTTTACAAGGAGAACAAAGACACCATGGATGCAATCAATTTGCTCTCAAAGTTCCTCAGGTCTGCTTTTGTTTTTTTGTTGTTTTTTCTGTAATAAACACTGAAATGTAAATGCAGTTAAGAACTATGGGGAGTGTTGCCTAGTGGTTAGGGCATAGAGCTTGGAATCCAGAGGTTCTGAGTTTAGGCCCACTCCCACAGACTGCCACTCTGGGACCCTAAGCAAAGACCTTTAAGCCCACACTGCTCCCTGAGCTCCACACAATGGCAGCCCACTGAGAGTTAATTTTGTTGCTCTGTACTTGTGGCAGTGTAATGACAATTTAAAAAAAAAAGGCTCTAAAACCAGTGTACAGCTGCAACTAAGGATTTTCATAATTGATTCATCTGTTGTGAATCTTCTTTCGATTAACAGATTTAAAAGCAGAAGTTGCTTAATAAGAGTAGTTTAACAGCAATATAACCATATAGGTATGCTAAATTATCAAGTTTTGTTAAATTAACTTTTCTATAGTTCTGTAGAGGTTTGGCTTAGTTACCTATCCGAGTGGGATGGGATGTATAAACGGTATACTCCAGCTATTGACTGCTTGATTACTTAGTTTATGAATATTTCTATTTCCGATCCATTAGGTGTATGTAATGATCCATTTCTTTCCAGGCTTAGACCCAATATGTTCTCATATATGGGTACCAAGGACAAGAGGGCCATCACGGTACAGGAAATCGCAGTGCTCAAGTGAGTGGGAAATGCCTTGATCTCTTTTTGACTTGTCTTACTCTAGTGTCTGTTTTTTCCTTTTAAAAGAACTGTTTTGGATCATATCTCTTTTTTTTGTAGGATCACTGCAGAGAGATTGGCTCACCTGAACAAGTGTCTCATGAACCTGAAGCTTGGAAACTTCTGCTATAAAAATCATCCTCTGAAGCTTGGGGAGCTGCAGGGAAACCACTTCACTGTGGTTATCAGGTCAGCAATTATATAAAAATCTCCTACTCTCGTGTTAGTGGGGTAAAACAACCAAAACACGTTGGATCACTTCTTATTTTTTTCTCTTCTGGTCTTGGCAGTCCAGAGGAATAGCTCTACACTGTTTTCTGTATTCTAAAAATGAGTATGAATAGTACTCCTCATGGCGTGATGAACACTTAATTCGAACATACACTTAATTATTTTTTTATTGTTTCGGGCTGTTTCTCCAGTCGTGGAAGAATTTTTTGATCGGACCAACTTTCCGCCTAATTGTGCGTCCTGTTGTATACAGGGGGTAACAGGGGCGATTAAGCTCTCACGACCACCTCCCGATCAGGAATCGTAAGGTTGGAAGAACATCAAACATGTTTGAAATTAAGTCGGCCATCGTGAGGTCGCATTAGAGCGTCGGCCCACACCGTGTGAAAACATGCATCGTGAGCTGTGAACTTTTAAAGCTGAGGTTTCGTCGTTCAGTTGGAGCTATAGCTGCGAACAAGGATTGAAAATATCGCACAGTGTATGCCCGACTTTAGCTATGTAGGCATGGTGGGAAGTTCTCACGGTGTGATAACTGTTCAAATTTAGGAGTTTTAATTATATTTACCAAGCTATAATTCAGGTATAATAACATACAATGTGGATTAATACATCTAAAATAATTATACACACATCCTATACAAAATATAGATTAAACACCCCAAAATAATTTATTTTTTCTACTTTATTATCACTTTGCTCTTCATAGAGGTATGCAACTAGAATCAACGGGTTCTACAGCCTGCAGGAGGCAGCTTGAACAAATGCTGCTCTTTGTCTGCCGATGATCTTAAATCTGTGCTCCATGTAGCCTGGAAGCTTTTTTATCAGCTGTTACATTAAAAAGGACTTTAAAATGCAGGCAGAAAACAATTCAAGCAAGTCTCACAAGAAATTTGGAGCAAATGTCCTTCTAACAGGCCGCTAGTGACATATGTCCTAAAGACTAGCTGATCTTTCTTTTTAGCCAGAACATTTTTGTTCATTGACGTTGATGTCTGTTATGAAGGTAATGTATGTTGTTAAACAACCAAATGTGCAATATTTTGTAAGTGGTACAAGAGATGAATTCCATCAGAGGATTTCAGAAGAAGGTTGGAAAAGTAATGCTGAAAAGAAGTGAATGATGCCTTTAGATTTTGCACGGTGACTTCAGGTCTTTCTGTTCTTGCTGTTCAGGAATATCTCTGGAACAGATGAGCAGGTCCATCAGGCCATGACGTCCCTCAAGCAGACTGGCTTCATCAACTACTATGGAATGCAGCGCTTTGGCACCACCGCCGTGGCCACGCAGCAAGTAGGCAGGTGAAGAGCTAGCAGACGTCCTGACCGGAAGATGTCAACTAGGATGGAGCCGTTTCGGGCGGAGAACTCAAATTCTCTGGCTTTGCTTGTTTCAGGGCTATACTAAGAAACGACTGGAATCAAGTGGTGGATTTGATTCTGAAGCCCCGGCCTGGAGGTAAAACATCTCCCTTTACTTTCAAAGTCAAACCACTAATGCTGCTAACTAGACCTTTTATTTAAAGCTGATCCTGCTTTAAATATATTTGCAATAGGCAGTGGTTAGTTTTTACATTTTATCTACCATTTTATAGAAGATAGAATTCTCCATATCTAAAGCAGCTGTCGATGTCTCTGATAATATCAGACAATGGTTAATCCAATGTTTTGGAGCATGTTAATATTTTGTTCCTAGATTTCCTTTTTAACTTTCATGTTTAATCCTTTTTTTCTTGAAATATTTTTACCCTGCAGCTGAAATACTTGTCAATTAACGCACTCGTCCACCCAGTGATTTAGTAATTATATTTTCTGAGCCTTTTTTTATGTCATCAACCCAGAAAAGCACAAATATATCCAGATACTATATCCAGAATTTGATTCCTGGCAACTCATTCCTTAGTTGATGTGAATTTAAGTAGAAACAAGACGAACAACCCCAAATATCATCTTAAAGTGTTTTGATCCCTTTCTACAGCAGAAAAAGAATATCTGGTTCGCTGCAGGGAGGAGTGGGCAAAGACTCAGGACCCCGAGGCTGCACTGAGGAAGCTGCCAAACAAGCGATGCGTTGAGGGACAGCTGCTTCGAGGCCTGTCAATGTATGGCAAGAAAAACATTGTCACTGCTTTTGGACAGGTTTGTTTTCTAGCTATCGCTGCAGGAGGTGAAAATCCTTTGTGATCAATGTTAATTATTATTTCCAACATTTGCTGTCTCTTGTCAAAGCTTAGGGTTACAGGTAAATTACATGTACATGTAATTTATTGAGATTTTAAGAAAAAAATCGGCGTAAGATGAGACTATATCCCGAGCTATTTCTATAGTTATGCTGCTATAGGCTTAGGCTGCTGGAGGACATGGGCACCACTACGCATTTTAATTTACAGGTTTGTAATTTTGTGTTACCTTTTTGTTGTTCTAGATCCCCAGAAACAACCGGCTGATGTACATTCACAGCTACCAAAGCGTGGTGTGGAACACTATGGTTAGCCGCAGGATCGAAGCTTTCGGGCTCAAGGCGGTGGAGGGGGATCTAGTTCTCAAAGGAAGTAGGTCTTATTTATCTTCTCACTCACAAATGAAATCCAGAGTGGTTGTAAAGTAATTGATTGCAAAATGCTACCGAAGACTGCTTTTTCAGCCTCTGTACTTCTCTTCTGCTCCTGAAGCCAAAGCACACGTCCTTTCTGCAGAAGAAGCCGAGAGACACTCCATCAATGATATTGTGATGCCACTTCCTGGTTATGATGTCATCTACCCCTCCCACCATAGTAAGACATTCCTCTGATTTCCTTTATTATATACACTCATATGGGAAGAAATCAATACAACCTGCATCAGCTTGTTTCCCCAACATATTTAAGATTCGTTTTATCGGAACAGGACTTATTCTGTGACAAGAGTTGAAACTAAGATATTTTCTGTATTATATGATATAATGAAAAGTAAATTAAGACAGCCTCACATTTATTTTCACTTACAACGGATAAAATAGTCACATGTTGATGGTGGTTTCAGGTGTGCCCTCAGATATTCAAATTTAGCTTGTTAATGACTGCAGAAATCAGACTGAATGTTAAATAAGCCGTCTGAGCCTTCAGAAAGCAACTTGTGAGTCTATTGAAAGAGGTCAATGAAGTAGAAACTGCTTTTTGGTAAAATAATCTACAAGTAAAGAACGTTCATTAACCGCTAAACATAGCCAGGGTCTGGATTCCCAGTCGAGTTCCTTTTCAGCAACAGATTATTGATGTGAAAATGTAGGCTGCATAATAAGAGAACTGAAGTTAAGAATGTAGAGCAAATGCTATATAATTATATTTATATGATTGATTAGCAAAACTTGAGTATTTGAAGAACAGAAAAGATGTCATGTTTAGTGTAAATCTCATCCAGCATCCCAGAATCAGCCACAGGGTCGTGGACCACTAGGACTCACTTCTGCATAGCTGCTGGCTATTCTGGTTGTTAACAATGTTCCCTAGTGGCTTTGGCTTCTTCTAGCAGGAAGTGTAGCTGCCCACAAAGCAAAAAATGCTGAGAAATTATTTTAGAAGCCAAAAAAAAGAGCTGAAGTGTTGATTGGGCTCCAAATTCCCCACATCTGAATCCAATTGAGCGTGTGTTGGAGGAGCTAGGCAAGGTAAGGTGAAGGACCTGTAACCACCACCTGGGCGCCTGATTTCCCAACACAAGTTGAGGGGTCATGTAGATTCCGTGCCTTGATTCAATTCAATTCAATTCAGTTTATTTATATAGCGCCAAATTCACAACACATGTCATCTCAAGGCACTTTACAGTTCAACCAGATCAAATTGATACAAAGTTTTCTATCTAAGGAAAACCAGTTGATTGCATTGACTCATTGACTCAAATACAATCCCCCACACTAAGCATGCTTGTAGCGACAGTGGAGAGGAAAAACTCCCTTTTAACAGGAAGAAACCTCCAGCAGAACCAGGCTCAGTGTGAGCGGCCATCTGCCGAGGCCGACTGGGGTTCAAGGAGACAGAAGCAGAGATACAAAAAGCAGCTGTAAAAGGCGGCCCCGTCCAGGAAACACACAGCCAGGCAGACGAGCTCCAAGGCAGCTCCCATGCCAGAGGACGAAGAAAGCACATCCACTCAGTCACGGTCAGAGAAACAGGACCACACTGGAAAACAGGCCGATCTCCAACATCTATAAACAAGGGTGTTGATAGAAGCAGCACAGCTGATGTTTCTTTCCAGGATGACGTCACAGCCAAACAGGAACAGACGAGGCAAAGCTACTCTGAGGAAAAGCAGAGAGAGCAGAAGGTTAGAGATTGAACTAACAGATTCTGCAGAATAGGAGAACAGAGAGAGAATGAAGCAGAATGATGAAATGGGGGTCCCTATGTCCTCCAAAAGTCTAAGCCTATAGCAGCATAACTATAGAGATAGCTCAGGATAACCTGAGCCACTCTAACTATAAGCTTTATCAAAAAGGAAAGTTTTAAGCCTAGCCTTAAAAGTAGACAGGGTGTCTGCCTCACGGACTAAAACTGGTAGTTGGTTCCACAGGAGAGGAGCCTGATAACTAAAAGATCTGCCTCCCATTCTACTTTTAGAAATTCTAGGAACCACTAGTAAACCTGCAGATTGAGAGCGAAGTGCTCTGTTAGGAACATAAGGAACAATCAGATCTCTGATATAAGATGGAGCTTGGCCATTTAAGGCTTTATATGTGAGAAGGAGGATTTTAAATTCTATTCTTGATTTAACAGGAAGCCAATGAAGAGAAGCCAGGATAGGCGAGATATGATCTCTCTTTTTAATTTTCATTAGAACTCTGGCTGCAGCATTTTGGATCAGCTGAAGGCTTTTAACTACAGTTTGTGGACTTCCTGATAGTAAAGAATTACAATAGTCCAGCCTTGAAGTAACAAATGCATGGACTAGTTTCTCAGCATCACCCCTGGACAGGATATTTCTAATTTTTGCAATGTTCCTCAGATGAAAGAAGGAAATTCTAGAAACCTCTTTGATGTGGGATTTAAATGACAGGTCCTGATCAAAAACAACACCAAGATTTTTTACTTTATTATCTGAAATCAGTTTAATCCCATCCAAATGAAGTGACTGGCTAATCAGTTTCTTTTTCAGAGACTCTGGTCCAAAGACTATAACTTCTGTTTTGTCTGCATTCAGAAGCAGAAAGTTAAGAGTCATCCAGGTTTTTATGTCTTCAAGACATGCCTGTAATCTATGTAATGGGTTAGCTTCATCTGGATTTATAGACAGATATAGCTGGGTATCATCAGCATAACAGTGGAAATTAATCCCATGCTGTCTAATAATTCTACCAATTGGGAGCATGTATAAAGTAAAGAGAATTGGTCCCAGCACTGATCCCTGTGGTACTCCACAGGTAACCTTTGAGCGTGTTGAAGATCTATCATTAACATGAACAAACTGAATTCGATCAGATAGATAAGATTTAAACCAGTCTAGTGCTGTTCCTTTAATTCCAACAAAATATTCAAGTCTTTCTAAAAGAATATTATGGTCAACTGTATCAAATGCAGCACTAAGATCCAACAGGACGAGCACAGATACAAGTCCATTATCTGAGGCCATGAGAATATCATTAGTGACTTTCACCAGAGCTGTTTCAGTGCTATGATGAGCTCTAAAGCCAGACTGAAACTCTTCAAAAAGTTCATTATGGTGGAAGTGATCGCAAACTTGTTTGGCAACTACTTTCTCAAGAATTTTGCATAAGAAAGGAAGATTGGATATAGGTCTATAATTGACCAAGTCATCTGGGTCAAGAGACGGTTTCTTAAGCAGAGGTTTAATTACAGCAACCTTAAAAGCTTTAGGTACATATCCCTGTAACAGAGATAGATTAATCACATCTAAAATGGAGGAGGAGATCAAAGGGAATACCTCCTTAAATAACCTGGTTGGAACTGGATCTAACATACAAGTTGAAGGCTTAGATGAAGACAATAATTTTGCTAATTCAGAGAGTTCAACTGGATCAAAGCAGTCTAAACCCAGTTCAGATTCCATGACTACCTCAGGTACAATCGCGGATAGAGGAGTGCTTATGATCTTATTTTTAATAAGATCAATCTTATTTATAAAGAATCCCATAAAGTCATTGCTGCTAAGAGCAGGTGGAATGGACGGTTCAACAGAGCTATGGCTCTGGGTGAGTTTGGCAACTGTATTAAAAAGAAATCTAGGATTATTCTTATTCTCCTCTATTAATGAGGAGAAGTATGCTGCTCTTGCTTTACAAAGGGTCCTCTTATACAGCAGTAAACCATTTTTCCAGACTAGGAAGGACTCTTGCAGGCCTGTGGAGCGATATTTTCTCTCCAGTTTCCTAGCATTTTGCTTCAAAGTACGCAGCTCTGCATTAAACCAAGGAGCAAGCTTTCTATTTTTAACGGTTTTCATTTTCAAAGGAGCTGCGTTGTCTAAGGCAATACGCAGAGAACTAGCAACCCCATCAACAAAATCATCAACCTGTGAAGGGGAATAAGCTAAACTTTTGCACTCTGCAGCACTGCTCAGTGACACAGAGGAGAGAGAAAGTGAAGCAGATTCTTTAAAATTTATAACTGCACTATCTGATAAAGATCTACTAAAATTGAACCTTCTTTTGGGGGAGGAGAACTCTGTTAAAGTAATCCTGAAGGTTATTAGAAAGTGGTCAGAGAGGACAGGGTTGTGAGGAAATACTGTTATTTCTTCACATTCTATGCCGTATGTCAGCACAAGATCCAAAGTATGAAGATGAGAATGCGTGGGACTATTCACATTTTGAACAAAGCCAATAGTGTCTAAGATAGCATTAAAGGCTGCTCTTAAGCTATCGCCTTCAATGTCAGCATGGATGTTAAAATCTCCCACTATGATGACCCTGTCAGTATTTAATACCAAATCAGAAAGGAACTCTGAAAACTCATCTAAAAATTCAGAGTAAGGACCTGGTGGACGATACAAAGTTACAAAAAGAAGAGGTTTTCTTGCCTTGAAATTTGGATCAGGGAAATTAAGGGTTAAATGTTCAAAAGAGTTGTAGGTATTAACTGTTTTGGGAGTAATCAGTAAGTCAGACTGGAAGATTGTTGCTACTCCTCCTCCTCGCCCAGAACTTCTGGGGATGTGAAAATTTAAATAGCTTGAAGGAGTTGCCTCATTTATGCTCACATAATCCTCTTGCTGCAGCCAGGTTTCTGTAAGGCAAAACAAGTCAATGTGATTATCACAAATCAAGTCATTAACTAGTAGACTTTTAGAGGAAAGCGATCTTATGTTAAACAGACCGCATTCAATTGTTTTAACTTTTTCCCCAATTTGAGTTATTTTGATTTTAATTAGATTATCATGATTTACTCCTTTGGGAATCTTTGCTAATTTATTAGATTTTGGTCGTGGGCAAGACACTGTCTGGATGGAGTAAAGAGTGGGTAACAGTAGAGAAGCTGCAGAGATGTGTGTTAAACTACAACTCTGCTTCCTGGTCTGCACCCTGGGTGGTCAGGGTTTTGGAGGACTAATAAATGTGGCCAGATTCCTAGAAAGAAGATGGATTTCATTGCAGATCAACTCAGAATGTTATGCCTGATTAATGGAAATAACAAGGTTTTGAAAATATTACAGTAAATTTAATATCAACCTGAACATAATTACCTTGAAGGTTATGATGTATCCAAACAGCATGTTTCCTAAATGAAGAGTTTATTCTGCTTGTCTCTGTCAGTTGGTGACGGATACAGAGAGCTGCTCTCTGCAGACGGCCTGGATATCGACAACATGAGGCACAAAGTGAAGGACTACTCTCTGGCAGGAGCCTACAGGCGCATCATCATCACACCCACTGATGTCAGCTGGTAAGCAGGATTTCCAACTTTTTATTTAGTAGAGAAGAAGTATTCCTAACAGTGAGAATCATATTGTTTAATCCTGATGGTCAAATATTAAAACCTTTTTTTTTTTGTCTGCTATGGTGACTTATTTTATAATTTATTGTTGTTTATTGTTGCTTTGCCATTTTATTGTAGGGAGGTGATTCACTATGACGACCCCCGGATCTCTTTAGTGCACAGTGACTTTGAGAAATTGGAGAATAAACCTGCTCCTGTCTTCAACAAAGGTCTGTTCTCTTCAATCATAAGCCTCTATGAGAACTGTTAAACTTGGTCTGAAACTCAGGAATGCAAATAAGACAATTTGTTTTTTATTTCATTTCAGTTTTTCCTTCCAAAACAAAAATCCTTTCCTGCAAAAATGCAGTGTGAATGCTATATGCTAAGCTGTGGGCCCAAAATTGTCAGAAACAATGTGAAATTGAAGTAAAAAGGGCTAAAATGGTGTGAAATGGCAAAAAATGCTTACCGGTAATTTATTTCCTGAAAAGTAGTAGAAGCAAGCTGAAATCAACAGAAACATGGCTGAAATGTCAAGAATTGATAAGAAACAGAAAAAGCTTAATGCCTGTCCTGTCAGATGGAGGAATCTTGCCAAAGTTGACAATATAAATCTTCTGAGACCTAATAAAGAAGCAGATACAGCACGAAAACTTGTAAGAAGGAACTGGAATTTTATTTGGTAAAGAAAAATTCTAGTGGCTTAAGGATGTTAACTGAAATGTTGAAGAATATCGTATTGAATACAAAGCTAAATATTTTGTCTAAATGACAAGAATTGGGACAATTCTGAAATAAATGCATAAGTGTCATTTGAGCAAAATATAGATAAAGGTTTAAACTTTAAGAAGCTTGACAATACAGCAAAAAAAAAAAAAAAAACCAGGACACATAGGGGAACGATGTTACAGGGCTGTTTTTGTGTAAAATATTTTTTAAAAGACACGGCATCCTGTGAAAAAAGAGGGAAAATTTGAAAATCAAAGAAATATATATAAGGAAATAATTTTTAACTTTAGGAATCAGCAGTTTGCTGAATAGTTATGCCAACACTCATGTTTTTACAAAATGTTATGTGGCCATGGTGACGATGTAAAAAAATTGGTTCGTTTTGGAAGCTTTTAGGCTTTTTTATTGAAACAGTTTTCATACCTCTGTACAACCCAGTAGGATGGCCGTACAGCATTTACACAATTAGATGGAAGTACAGAAATAAAAAGGACATTTTTGGCATCCAAATTAAAGCTTTAAATTATCACTTGCAAAGCCCTTATTCAAAACTCAATTCTGAAGTACCTGTTTTTGTTTTTTTACCTATGTGGCTCTCAAATAAAAAATAAAGGCTTCCTTTAACCATCACATTTTTTGCCCCTTTTTAATGTAAACTAGAAGGCTGTAATTGCTCATATGTTTTTTTCCAAGAGCTTCATAGAGAGCCACTAAAACTTTACTGAAGTATAAGATGATCAAAGCACGAAGTTTATAAAAAAAAAATTAACTGTTTAAATGAGCTACACATAAGATCAACAACTTTTATGAAAACAGGGTAAACATTCCATCAATCCAGTAAACTGTTCCATGTGAAAAGGTTGAAGAGGATTATGTTGGATATGAATAATAATACATTTTGAATGTTTAACCAGAAACATTGCCTTTATTTACCACGTTAAGCCATTTTGGTGCAGGAAGTTGAGGTTGATCACCAATTAAAAAATATTTCATTGACGCAGGGCTATCAATGTAGCAGATCAGACAGAAACAACAGCTTCAGCTGGAGACATTATGAAGGTTTGATATGAGCTATGACCTTTTCTGCTGGTCTGGTTCCTTTCCACAGAGGGGAAGTATCGTGCTCTGAAGATGGAGTTCTCCCTGCCTCCCTCGACCTACGCTACCATGGCGATCAGAGAGGTGCTCAAGCTGGACACCAGCATCAAGAAACAGACACAACTCAACACAGTTTGGTTTAACTGAGACCAAATGAGCTTCGGCTACAATCGGACTGCTACAGGCACAGATCTACATTATGATTAGGTTTTTTATAATATGTAGAGTATGTGAGGTTAAGACCCAGTTCTCCATACAAACTTTTTTTTTTTTTTACAAGGATGTACAGCAGTATTTCACTTTATATTTTCAGTGATAATTTAAGAAAAGGTTTTGCATTCTGGGAGCCCATATACTTAAGCTGCTGGTTTGTACATGTTTTTTTTTTTTTTAAGCCTTGGCTGGGGAAAAAAAATGAACATCTTAGAAGCCATTAGGGTAACCAATGTCTGAGTTTAATTTGCTTTTATTAAAAGGTTTTTGACATTTTTTTTCAAGCATATCCCATGTATGTTTCAGAGTAGATAATGACTGCAGTACACACTGCGCCAATTGTTAAGACTTCTCTTGGATAAGTTTTAGAATACAAAATGTATTTTAAAAAATTAGTACAAAAATACTTGGTGAAAGCGCTTCTCTAAGAACGTTGCATCTAATAGGTCTGCACATGTGATTGTGTCATTCTATTAAAAGTTACTCATGAGGCTGGTTTCTATACATCGGCGACATAATATGGTGTCTAACGCTACGTCAGGATTAGGGTTGTAGTTTCTAAGAAATTGTGCTTAAAACTGGCAGATTTATCAACTGGATTCCTCGATCCTTTGGCTGATTTAAAAAAAAACAAAACATTTGGGACTGTTTCTTTTATCTTAAACAGTGTTTCAATGAGATGGTAGATTAAGAGCTGGGGTTTTCTGCAGCTGAATGTAAAATAGTGCTGTCCCTCCCCTAAGAGTTAACAGACAGCTGCATTAAAAGAGGCCACTACACCCCCATGCTAACAAGAACATTTTAAAACTGTGACAAAACACTCCAATTAAGACTATTAAAGGTTAGAAAATAAAGTTAGCAAGCAAGTTTCCATGTTTGCTAATCAAGTAGCTGCAGGCTATATAAATAATCAATTAACTTGGCACTATCAGCTTGGTACCCTTGTTTTGCACCATAATAAGCTGCAATTATAAATGTTGAATAAATACCCCTCAGAAAATATGTTTAACACCTTAAAGGGGAACACCGGTTTGTTTACATTGGCCCCTTGATTTCACATTATTACATCATGTTCTACTCGCCTATATGAGTTTTGTGTCATTTTGTTCCAAAGATATTCGGTTTTGTTATATCCAAGTAACGTCTTCCTTTGGGCAACGACTTGAAGGCACAAACTGTTCATAATTTATCATTTATTGTACGCTAGCATTCATAACATGTAGACGAATCACTGTCCCCCAGATATCTGCGGTTATATTTTTATATATTTTTTTTTAAACAAAGCGGAGTGTCTATGACGTCATCCGCTGATGCTAGTTTTACTCACATGCCTGGAAGATGTCTAGTGCTACTACCAGAGATAATCTTGCTCGCCAAATGGAATTGAACGATTCAGATTAGCTAGCTGAACGAATGGAAGGGGTAGAGCGTAGTCGCCTGTGGCCAGGGCTGCCTGTCACAACTCCAGTCCGACTCCCGGATGACGTCATACACACTCCGCTTTGTTTTAAAAAATATAAATATAAAAAATATAACAGCGGATGTCTGGGGGACAGTGATTCGCCTACATGTTATGAATGCTGGCGTACCATAAAGAATAAATTGTGAACAGTTTAGTCTCTACCTTTAAGTCGTTGCCCATAGCCTCTTAAGGCCCATTCATACCTCACGTTTGGCCTGCACGTCCGTATTTCTGTCCGTACGTTCTATCCGTTGACTCCTTCATACCTCCGTCCGTTGAGGTGCGCAATAACCCATATTTCCTCTAGGTGGCAGTGCTGGGCGCCAATGATTCGTCATTGATCAAAACATGGCGATGGTCCAAGACCTGATTCTGTTGACATTTTGTACTAAAAACTCAATAGCGCCCCCACCGTTTCCGGTAGTATTGCTCCGTATTGATCCGTTTCGTCCGTAAGCGTAAGCTCCCAATTTTCGTGTCAAAGTACGGACGAAATCGACGGTTCGAACGTATGAAACACTCCACACGTATCCGTATCCGTCTTTTACGTGAGGTATGAATGGGCCTTTACACCCTAAGGGGGTATAAATAAATTTCTGCCTGACAAAAACACACAAAAGTAAATAACTTATAGCCTCAAAGCTATTAGATTTAAGAAGAAACTTTTGGTACGTCTGTAAAGGTAAGATGTCATGAATGGTTTTCTGGTGTCAGCACCATTGTAGCTTTGACCCTGCCTGAAATATTAGGGACAAAATACAAAATATTTTGCATTTTTTGAACCTCGCCAAAATTTTCTTTGAAATAAACATTGCAAAACACTACCAAAATATTATTTATAGCACAAAAAAGTAGTACAGACTTTCAAATCTAAATGTTGTGTAAAAATATACCAAATTTGGACTCAATCAGATGAATCATAATTATTTTAGAATGGTATTAGTGAGAAATTTCTTAGGCGGAGGGGCCAGTTTGGCACATTTATCCATAAATGTCACCAAACTGTGCCAAATATGTTTTTTACATCAATACTGGGGGTTTGGTAAAATTACGAGGTCATGTAGCAGCTGGACCCGCCGGTGGGTCCGTAGGGTTCAAGGCGATAGGAAGACATTACTTATTACAAAACCGAATATCTTCAGAACAGCTCCAAATGACACAAAACTCTTATGGGTGAGTACAACATGATGTAATAATGTAAAATCAAGGGGCCAATGTAAAAAAAAAAAAAAAAAATGGTGTTCCCCTTTAAGTGTTTAATTTCAGTTTTGTTTTACATTTAAAACTTATGTTGTCATACTACTAAATCTCTAACCAGCCCATGTCGGTCTCACATGATGAAGAACAGCTTGTGACCTTTGATACCGTTAATGTGACTTAAAACCCAAGCCGTGATGTCATAAATCAAATATTTCTTTAATACAAAGGGCACTTTAATGGCTTTATCTTCTAGATATCAGAACAAGAAAACATCTGGAAAGGTGCTCAGTGTTCCCTACTTATTCAAACCAAAATATAAGAGAAAATGTCCTAACATAAGGGTGGTTATAAAGGAAGTACTAAAGTTCTTCACAAATGGAGAGCTTGTTCCTCTTATTTTGGCTGCCACTTGTATTCTATTTCCTCAATTTGCAACCTTCCCTGGCCGCCATCCCTCAGTGCATCGTTCTCGGCGATAAATCTGTAGATGACGTCTGTCAGCTCACGCTGACACCTCCTCCAGATGGTGTGCTCAAAGTTGTTCATGGCTGACCGGAGCCATTCTGCAAACGCGTCCCGTTCTTTATCACCTTCTGGTCTCAGCTGCTGCTGCAGGACCAGGAACTGCTGGGAACGTTCATCCACCTGGTTGTTGCTTTCTTCCGGTCCCTGCTCTCTTCCTCGACTTGGAATCCCAGAAGCCGATCTCATGGTGGAGTTGTTACTCTGGAGTGTCATGGAAACGGGCCTAATGGACTCGGGAAAGACAGCAGGAGGACCGGCGTTACAGGACGGGACGTTCTGTGGCGTGGGGATGGCATTAACAACTGCCTTCCTTCTCTTCTAAAAATAGACAAAGAACAATAATTGTAGCATAATTTCAGTGCATACTGAAGATGATTATAGTAACGGGAAACATTAGTGGCCCTTCACCTGCATGTTTTGTTGGGTTTACATTTAAACATATTCGGCATACAAGTACTCACACCCTGCTATAATATAACATTTTCTCTGATCATCCTTTCTTTACATGCTTCTGCTAGTGTATTGGACTCTGCCTCCACTGAAATCACTTGGACAGTTTTCATAGTTAAAGGTTTAAATGAGGGCTGAAAACCAAGCAATAAAGATAATGGATAGCCCTCTGACCAGAGTGTAAGAAGACAAAATTTGGGGATATATACAAAACTTTGCAGGCAGCCCTCATGTCCTACCTAGGTCTAACCATCCAAGTAATCTAGGAAATAGAATTACTTCTAAGAGCATTAAAAGAGCATTCAATTTCAGTTATTCATTCCTGTATAAACTCTGTGAAAGTAAGATTATAAGTGTTGGTATGCATGTGCATATACACATACTCATTTATATGTGAGTTTGTATGGATATTGATTGATAAATCTGCAGATTCGTGCATACCATTGAGATATGTATTAACTTCCCTCTGACATCATTGATGACCACACTCCAGTCTGGTAGGTGGCGGTAAATGCACCTTAAATTGGTTGCCATCCGCCAATAAAATACATAAGAAGACCCTCGCCCCCTTTAGTACAGGAAGAAGGTGTGGTGCCAGAAAATGAAAGCATTGGAGCACCCAGGCAGAGGCGCAGCCAGAAAGTTTTTATAAGGGTGGCCAGGGAATAACCAATGTACACAGAGGGGTGGCCGAAAGTGGATAGGTGCCAGAACCTCAGACTCAAGCCAAAGATAAGACAGCCTATACTTTCCTACAGCCGTTGCTAACAAATAGAAGCATATATTTAAAGATCAGTGCTTTCTAGATAAAAGGTAAAGTGGATAAAATACTTTCAGGTTTGATTTCTGGGGGCGAAAGAGAAAATAATGTGTCTGTGCAAGTCATCTTGGAGTCTTCAGTGAAATCATAGATAAGCAACTACTTTAATAATAACTTAATGTAGATATTAGTCCATGTAAATATTTTTATGCAGAACAATTTTTGATAATAGAAGTTGGCCCCAGACATGTTGTCCACTAAACCTTGTATTTAGACAGAATGGATATTTAAATATATGCATCTATTAGTAATCAAAAGGCTGTAGGAAAGTATAGTTAGTCATAATTAGAAAATCTGTATGTTGTGCTCGTTCCAGTTTAGATTGACCCTGAGGTTCTGGTGCCTATCCGTTTTCGGTCACCACTCAGTGTACATTGGTTTTTTGACTGGGCACCCCTATCAAATTTTTCTGGCTAAGCCTCTGCTCAATAGAAAATTCTTCTAATTTTATAATCGGCATAACACTGCAGATAAACAAAAAAACAGTTTCAGCTGTTCTGCCCATCAGTGATCAGAATGAAGGGCTCCTATTGGCTGTAGGGAGAGCAGCAGCTGCAGGGACTGATGAGCATTGCATTACCATACCTTCATCACAGCCCTTTTACAATCGAATACTGCAAAAATATTGGCCATATAGTGTATTTTTTTAACCCACTCACAGATTAGGGTATGCATTAGAATTTACCTCAGTTTGCAACATGTTGGTCGTCGTCTCGCGATGTTTTACGTGTTTGTCGAGCCACAGCAGGGACGTGAAGAGCGCAGGGACCGATTTCCTCCCCGCAGGATCAGCGCTCCTCTTTTTGCTCACCCGGCGTTTAGCCTTAGCGAATCTGTCACGGAGGTATCTCCATCTCTTCCGACAGACCTCCTCCTCTGCATCCACAGCCAGAGCTACCTCTTTCCATGAGTTGTTGACCATTTGCAGGTCTTTATACGACTTGGAAGACGTGTTGTATAAATTCTCATACTTTCTCACCGCCTCAGCAAGCCGCTCCTCAAAACTATCCATGTTACACAGGTCACCTGCTGAAATGTGTGGAACATCCGGAACAAAAACAGGGAATCACTTCCGGCTCCACTAGCAACGCCCCTCCAAATTCTGACCAATGGGAGAAAAACAATGTTTTTCTGAAAACCCCAAGAAAAATATTAATTCTGCTCAGGCGATCTGTCCGGGTAGATCAGTATGACGTCATCCGTTGCGAGAACAAGAATTAAAATGTCTCGGTTCTTGGGGATTAAGCGCACGGGCGGAGCTAGATGGGGGGCCATGGCCATGGCCATCCTTAGCCAATCAATGGCCACCCCTACCATCCCCCCCGCAGGGTTTAGTCGTACAGTGTAAGCTTACAGCTCACGATTTATGTTTGGCCCAATGCTCTGATGCGATCTACTTGCCCGGACTCAACTCCGCAGTTAGATGGAGTTGCTCTGACTCCTCTATCCAGGATCCAAACAAATAGAAGGGGAATATTAAGCTCACTATAGTAAAACATGCTGCCTTGGCAATCTGTGCAACTTTGTGCTGAAAGCACAATAAAAATAAAAGGCAATTACGTATTTGGACAAAGACATGGCTGAGCAAACGTGGCTACTACGGTCTCGCAATTTTACAGAAAGAACTGCATTTTACTGATTGCATCCCTGCCACGCTGCTGTGTTTACATCTGAGAGGAAGAATAAAAAGAAGAATCCTTCTTTGTGCACGCGCGCTGAGCAATTGTCCTACGATGGTCGGGAGAAAATCAAACATGTTTGATAGTTCGATAGTTTCTGAATTTAAAGCTAAGTTACTAAGGAGACCATAACTCCAAATTGACCCCATAATATTAAAAAGTGGGTCCCCTGCCTTAGGAGCAGACTTTGATCTCCATAAGGCCTCTCTGTCTTCATAAGGTTAGTAAATATTACAGGAAAGTTCCTAAATAGGTAAAGTAAACAAGTACATCAAGTATATTTAATATTTAGAAGGTACTTCTAGATAGGAAGGTATTTAGATGACACTTCTCCTTTCTTAAACCATTAATTTTTGTGAAATAATTTTACAATTTCCTTAGGTTTAGCACCTTAAATGTGATTCAATCTCTCAATTCAAAGGTTCCTCTGTTTTTACTCTTTTTCAGTATTTAATGTACTAAAATTCAACCAGGAACTAAATTAAAAATGAATAAAAAATATCTGCATTTCATGTTGAATTTCAATTTATTCAAATTAGAACATAACAGCAGCACTTGCTGTCTCCCACAAATTCAGAACAATCACTTAGAACCAAGAACAAATCCTTACCCGTCAAAATTAACATATTTCTATGACTTAGCTGCTGTGGAGGAGCAGCTACTCCAGTTAAAGCCGCTGGGACAGAAAATGTAAAACACAAGTCTAATCTGTGATGGCTGAACAAAAGGCCTTCACATTCACATGTCAGCTAGATATGATTAAAAAAAAAGAACAGATAATGTGAGCAGAGAGTAAAATTGGTTAGGTTGAGTTGATGAGTAATGTGTATAACCAAATCATGGAAAACCATCACAAAAAAATATCAGTTTAGGTAAAGAGCTGTGATCTGCAACTATCTGTTGTTGTTACTAATGCTTCTGACAAGGCATGCTTGGTACAAAGTGAAATATGTTACTTTAGTAATGTGAGAAAATCAAAATGCTAAAATTGAAAGGTAAAGACTGTCTACTTTTATAACTCATCTACTTTTCTTAAGCCAAATGCAGGTGATCAATGGCAGTATTGGAAGGCACACAGTTATCGTAGAAGATCTGGAAGGAGCTGCTGACATATGTTACCCTCTTCAGAAACTCCTCCAGGTGCTGCACTGTCATCTCCTGGACCCTGTTATTCTCCCTGTCATTGAGCCCATAAGCTGCAAATGCAGGGAACTTGGTGCGCTCCGTGTATGGAGCGTTGTGATCAAAATCCACGCAGCAGTAGGCCGACCAGAGATAGGTAGGGATGCCCAGCCGGTTGATGTTATTGCGGCGAATGGTGTGGCCTGAGGTGGTGATCCCCGTGACCACATAAGCGTTTCCACGGCAGTAGTTGTTCAGCCTCTTACGTATGGTGTGTTGGTGCATTTTCCAAGGACCGATGTTGAACTCTCGGACCGTGGGGACCACGTTGGTCAGAGTGTAGGTAGCTGCTTTGTCATCCTGATCGGCCTGGTGCTCGTCTGGGTTCAACTGACCTCGCTCGAAGATCACGGAGTCGGAGTAGTCGTCAAGCACAGCCTGAGAATCTTCAAAACTCTTGTAAACGTGTTCAGAAGGGAGCGTCTCCATCTCTCTGGATCCAGACACTAAAGAAAGCTGTTAGGATAAATAGTGTCAGAATAAAACAACAACAAAAAACAGTGCGCCATTAAACTTTGGACAACAAGTGTTCCTACCTGCGGCTCATACATCCAGGGGACGTCAACCACTTTGGAGCCATCCGAGCGCTTGAAAGTATACGCAGAGTAAACAGGGATGTGGCTGAAGGTGTCATAGAGGGTGAAGAACCGTGGCTTGCCCGCATAGTACTGACAGATCTTTTTTAAAGGCTGCTCCTCCAGCCCTCTTGGCATGGTCCCCATGTACAAGAACTTCTTACACTCGGGGGAGATGCTCTCCTGGACCTCTGCTCCCACCAACGCGATAATGAAAAGATACAGAAGGTTCTGCTCTGTTTTAGAGACAGACATGATGAAAGCTGGAGCATACAGTCCCCTCTCCAAATGAACGGCTCCCTCACTCCTCACCTTGCTCCGTACATTATACTATTTCAGATATAACATGCAAATCCTTATCTTATTTTATTCACGTGCCTAGAAACTCTCTCGCTGTTTCAACAGCTACTTTAACAGGACAGTAGAGTCTAAAATATATAATCTTTCCCTTGTTGCTGAAGTTACTGAAGCAGCCTTTAAACAGAATAACAATGATCAATTTTGTTAAAAACTCCCTTTATGCTCTTATCTTAAAACATCTGGAGAAAATTAAGGTATAGAGCTCTGCTAAAGAAATACTATATTGTTTTTAAACATGTTTTCAACATCTTAAATTTATAAGTAAGTTTGAAACAATTCTTTTCAGCAAATTAGGCAAGTTAAGCAAATAAACAAATTAGGCAGCTGTTTGGAGGCCCCACAGCAACCCAGAAGGAGGCCGAGAAGAATAAATATGCACAGTAACACTACATCGTAAAGATAGTTTGTACCCCAAAGAGGGATTTCCCAGGTTTCCATTAGGAATTACAAAACCAATGACCACTGAATTCAGAATTCCAAATGATGCTTGAGTTTTCACTATCCCATATGGCTGCTGGGTATCAAAAACTGGAGAAATGTCTTTTATAAACTATTTATTGAAATCCTTTTTTTTTTCACTAAATCAGTAAAAAACTTGCCTCAACATCTTCCCTCAGTGTTTGCAAGCAAAAATGGGAGACAAAATATATTGCTATCCTTGTGTATCAAAGAAAGAAAGAGTTGTAATAACCAAATCTCCCTGGTTTAACTCTAATTTGTTTTCTTTGATTTTTTTTTTGGATTCTCGGTTATTTCCTAGTCAGAAATACAAATTAATACCCCCGAAGTTCGTATTCCCACCGGGAAAATCCAAGCTTGGTAGGCAGCCCCAAATTAAAAATCCAACATGGCTTCCAGAATATAGTGAAAAGAAGATTAAACTTTGTTATGGCTTTGCTTCGCATAAAAGAAACCTGATGTGATGCATGTTAATGAACATTTTTCATAGTGTTTGCATGCATAAATGAATACAAATATTTTTTTAAACTTGAACTGCAAACAGATTAAAGTTAAGAATTGGATAAGTCTAGTTTTCCACTTTGGTATAAGGGTGCACTTCCTAATTTTCCCTGTAGAAATGCAATAGGAATGGTTTTGAATTGGTAATTCTAACTGGGAAAGCAGTAGGGAGCCAAGTACCCTCAAAGTCACTGTGTAATGTGACTGTGGCAAATCTCAACAGTCAATGCAGGTATAAAATTACTGTAAGCATGTATTATGGTTTGTTGATAAAAATAGGATAAAATGAGATTCAATATTGATACCTTATAAGAGCGAAAATAACAACTAGCAAATAGTAGGGTCTCAACTAGTGGGGGATCCATCAATTCGATAATTTGGAGCTACTACCCTGATACATCAAAAGGAGTCCTGCTTAGTGAAGGACTTGCTCCTAACTAGACTTTGCGTTGTTTTATATTTCTTGATGGTAAATTTTATGACTGAGTCTAGTGCCTGAAATACTAATGGCATATAGCATGTTAAAATTTTGTTAAATTCTGAACTTCAGGTACTGAAAAATTAGGATTAAGCTTGATATTATTAAAATTCTGATCTGATATGTAGGGGTCTTTAATTTATCACATTATTCCATTTGCAAACCAAGCAGGTAAAATATATAAATGTTTAAAACAAAGAGCAGAGCAATTCATCAGGATCTGCATAAGATTGGAAATACTTATTGCACATTATTTCCTAATCAGGTGTATGAGCTTAACTATCAGATGGTAATCTTTTTGTAATATTTGTACAAGAGTACAAAATAGCACGAATTTGATTATTCTCTATGCCTCATTGAAACAATCGCCTCCTTAAAAAGGGTTAAGTCAAACACTTTTATCATTCACAAACTAGTTTATTCTTAACAGCCAGTCGAATCTTTACCCTGAAGATATTTATAAATGGATCATAAAAAGTTACATCCAGACCCTAACCAAGTCATGAAGGGCTCTACAAAGTTTTCCAATATCTAATGTAAAATCTAAATGTTAACAGGAATGTCATGTTTAATTTGCAAGCTGTTAAGGATTAGAATTATTTGTATTTCACCCAAATAAAAACCAACATGTTCTTGATTCCCATCCTTAACCTTGGCCTGCAGATTTCTTTCTGAGGTATTGCTTGTATTAACTCCACCCTCCATATCCTTTTTTTCAACTATAAGCTGTTTGTCTGTGTTTTTCGTCCAGGCGAAAAGGCCGGGGAATGTTTCTTAGGAACATCTGTTCCCATAACGACAGGCTGCTTGCAGTATGACCTCTGTGGAAACAAACTTCCTGTTTACCACCCGAACATCCTGGTCATTTACTGACCTCACTGTGCCCTCAGATCCATTTCAACGCCCAGTTTCAGATGCCAAACTCTTTAGATTACATTCCTGGTTAAATCAGAGTAGGAACAATATCTAGAAACTTCCCCTTTTCTTTTATTAGATCTTATGGTCAGGCCAGTGGTTTCCTTACATAATACTGTCTAAAAGTTAACTTTCCTACAAATTGTTTAATTGTTAGAGTTTGTTTTATTTTTAGCCCACTAAAATAGGAATTTTTATGTGGATATTTAATTTTTCTTTCTATATACCTTTACTTCTATTACCTCCAAATATCTCCACATTAGAACATTTTCCTGTATTTGCAGGAAATAAAAAATAATGATAATAATAGTGAACATGCTTCTGGAAGGTAAAACAGATCAATGTGTTGATAAAAAGTAATAGTAATATTTTTAAGGAGTGTTCAAATGTTATTTTTCCTGATATGTCAAAAGAAATTATTCAGAATAAGCTAATATAACAGTAAATAAACTACAGTTAGAATTCAGTTAACAGTACTGAAGTTTTCTCCCTTTTTTAAAGCAACATTTCTTTGGGAATGTTGTATCAGTTATTTATGGGCCTTTCCTGTGCATTCACTGGTTTTAGGTCATCCATTTTCTGCTAGATGTTTGGGATCAGGCTCTGAATGTCAGGGCAGTAAAGTAATTTCTCTAATTGTTGGTTGTTGTATTTGGCTACTTTATGGGCTGTTTAAGGGCCAGGAGTTGGTTTGTCTGTCGATGTGTGCTCCCAACTGGGCTGTTGTTCCTTACAGGAGGTGTTTGTTTTGGGGGAATGGATGTTTTTAGGTCTTGTAACTCTCCTGGGGTGGTCCTATTGGAGTTGTGAAAAAGGAGGGCTTTCTCTGTGTATTTTTCCCATTTTCTGTCAAAGGAGGATACCCTCATATATACTCAGACATATGAAAGGATGCCCTTTCAAGCTGCAGAGGCAGAATGTAGCCGTTCCACTTCCAGGTAGCCTTAGATGACTGAATCAAAGGTTTTTCTTTTACACTGCAATGATAGACACGTTTTCAGCATCTGTGCAAGGATAGTATCCAAGCTGGTCAAGGTAAGTTCAACCTCAGTGTATTCCATGTTTTAATGTCTCAGCATTTCCTTTCTTGATTTGAAATATTGCCTTGCAAAAGTATTCACACCCATTTCTTTTGTCTTGATTTCCCAAGCATAAACTTTAGTATTAGATTTCATCTTAGGATTTTATGGGACACACCAACAGAGAGTAAAGCATAACAATATAATTTGAGGAAAAGGAATAAAAAAATAATAATATATATATATAACATACTATTTTTATTCAGACAATTGGAGGTATATATTATGTCTGCTTCGGACATCTGGAATCTTAAATGTCCATTCTCCTTTGCTAAATAGTTTATGACCAGTCAGAGTGGATGGAAAGTGCTGCAGATTCAACTGGATCGTTTCTGTTCTTTGACTAGGCGTTTCTGGCAGATTCATATTTTATACACCATTTCATCAATGACCCTGACGGAAGGTAAATTTGCCCCTTAGTTTTAATTCATTTCCAGTCTTTTGCATGTTTTAAGTCTGTATTGTCCTGTATTTTATCCACATCACAGTTACCCTAACCATTGTAGCTTACCTGTCCCTCTTGAAAAAGATGAATTCAACAAAATGTGTCCCTGCGGTTATAGGGAGGGTTTTGTGCAAAATTACAAACTGTGTTTTGCACGTTAAGTTAAAATCTTTAGTTTTAGTTTCGTCCGATAAGAGGTCTTTGTATTTTACATTTTTGGCTTGCATTTGAGTAGTGCAGATTTGTATTGTAAGTGCCTTAAGGTCTAAATTTAGAATGATCCACTCACTTTTCTAAATTGTCTTCTCCAAAAAGGTGACAAATGGGGTATGTCTGTTGCTCAGGGGTTTATTTAGGATCATGAGTTGAAAGGACAAAATGAAGACCAGTCTTTAAAGGTTTTTATTTGCAGAGATTACAAAATCATTTATTGTTTTCTTCCTGCTTTGCTCTACTTTGTGTTGGTCTGTCTTATAAGGTAAAAGTAGGATAACTTGAAATATTATGTTAGGTCCAAATGTGAACCAGTTCAAGGGTTTGAAAACTTTACAAGGAACTTTATACACCTGAATGTCACAGGACAAAGAGCATTAAAACCTGTAAAATGTCACTGTTTTTACAAAATTTTCAGACAAACCAGTTCAACACCAGGAGGAGAGAAAAGCGGACGGGTGATGGACCCAGTCTCTGTGTCGTGCTAAATCACAATGCCGGAATATTTTTAAAAGAAAGATGTCAGCCTTTCCCTACCCTGTCAGCCCTACACCCCCTATGTTCCACTGCGACTACAGTGACTGGTCTCCCTCCTTCTACATTATCCCGTCAGTCTACTTGTTGTCCTTCCTGGTGGGTTGCCTTGGTAACAGCTTGGTGCTCTGGGTGTACTTGCATCGAACCAATGCGAGAGGAATCAGGATAAGAGACAAACGGCGTATTGCAATAGGAAAGCTGTGCTGTTCTTTCAGAGCTACTCATCATGATGCTTCCAGAACTCACCATGTGTCAGACAGAGGGAACCCATCAGGACAAAGCTACAGGCCTTCCTCTCATGCCTTCAGCTCTTCCTCGCTCCCTCCCTCCATCCCTCGGCCTTCTCGCTCCCTGACAGACTCTCTGATTGCCAGTCTGGCTTTAGCTGACCTTTGCTTTCTAGTAACTCTGCCCTTCTGGGCTGCCTACACAGCAATGGGCTACCACTGGCCTTTCGGACAACCCCTTTGCCAGATAAGCAGCTTCCTCACAGCTCTCAACATGTACGCCAGCATATTTAGCCTTAGTATGCTCAGTGTGGAGAGGTACTGGGTCTTGACGGGACGCCGTCACTCAGGCCACTATCCCTTGCAGAGGTGTCCTAATAGGACTTTGTGGATACTCATAGCAGTGTGGACATTAGCAGGGATCCTGGCACTGCCTGGGTTGTTGCGTTCTGTCAGGGAAGTGGAGCTCGACCCAAAGTCTAGGGATGACCCAGGATCTTTTGTCCTTTCCTGCCAGATGGATTACTCCATGCTTGTTGGAGCAGAGCTTGACGAGGCTGAGAAAGACAGCGCTGAGATGTGGTGGGCTGCTGTATTGAGCTTAAAGTCAACTTTAATTGGCTTCCTCCTGCCACTCGTCATCCTGCTCATCTGCTACTGCTCACTGGCTCGGCTCCTCAGCAGGCACTTCGGACATGGCCCTCGTCCTGACCGCAGGCACCAGCGCAGACTCCTAAGAGTCATTATCACTCTAGTGATGGCCTTCTTCCTGTGCTGGTTGCCACTTCACGTCAACAAAACTATCTCTGTCCTAATGGAGTTTGACTTAATCCCCTACTCGTGCTCTTTAGACCAGGCTCTGCTGGCTGCTCACCCATACGTCACCTGTTTGGCGTACCTGAACTCCTGCCTTAACCCACTGCTTTACGCCGCCTGTGACCCTTCCTTCAGGGGAAGATGCAGAGCAACCCTGCTCATGTGGTGCAGGGTATGCAGAGAAGAAGATGAGGGGAATGGGAAGACAGAAGTAAAGGAAAGATTGGACAGGAGCTCAAATGTTCCAACAAGGACCCTGGAGGACACAGAGGGAAGGACAGAAGATGAGGAGGAAGAAGAAGACAGGTTATGAGGAGCTGGTCACACGGACAGAGGAAAAACAACAATGTACTATTTATATCAAAATCAAAAACCAAACAAAGGCTGATTTAAAATATGGGAAACTGAATAATATTTGCTGTCTAAACATTCCCTCTGTCTGTGTAAGCTTTTTTTAAACTCTGAAAATGGAAATGTTCCGATTTTTATATTCCCAGTGGTACAATGGATATATTTCCCACAGGAAAATAGATCTGTTTTCTAAATTACTTTATAAAGACATTATCTTTGGTCAGGCTAGAGCTTCTCATGTTATATGATATGTTGTACATTCCTAATGTACTCTGTATTTGTTGGTTTGTCTTGGACTGTTTAAACTTTTTTATTGACTTTAATTACAACAATAATAAAAAGTAAAATTATATTAAATTCTTCTTTGTTCATTTCTTACATAACTTTTCAAATACAATACAAAAATTTTAAAAGAAATCTGTTTAAAATCCGTTAAAAAAAACAAGTTACAGAACTCTTAAAAAACTTCAGATTTCAGAAGAAAACTAAAAAAATTTTAGTGTAAAACAATAATTAAAAGTGAGTATTAGAGTAATAGAAAGAAAAGGGAAAAAAAATAATTAAACTTCACAACGATATAAATGAAATGATAGTATTTATAAACCATTCCTTGGTAACATATAGAGAGGTCAGTAGACTACTCAAAAATTGTACTTAAGTTAGAGTAGTAATACTTGAACTTTTTTTTTAACTCAAGTTAAAGTAAAAAAGTACTTGGTAAAAAGGCTACTTGAGTACTGAGTAATAGATACTAATATCTGATTCAGTGTTTAGAAATTATGTAGACAGACAGACTTTATGTAAAGCTTCTGGTATTTTACAGACTCAAATGCATAAAGAATACAACAAATAAAACAAATTAATGCAGAGGAAATACTTTTGCCGATTTCTGTTTGCCACATAAAATGTAGAAAACCGATCCCTTCAGTGAGATATGCATATATGTTAGGACAGGGCAAAGAACTCCACTGATAATATCTACTGTTTACCTGGTCAAATTACCTAGTTCAAATTACTGACAGAGAACAGAGTAGTCAGACATTTTACTCAAGTAGTAGCAGTGATACTTTATATGAATATTACTTAAGTAAAAGTAAGAAGTACGGCACATTAAAACTACTCCTAAAAGTATTGTTTTTTTTCAAAATGTTACTCAAGTAAATGTAATTAGTTACTTCCCACATCTTGGCATGTATATCCATGTGTATGGATGGAGGCAGAAAAACAGCCTATTTAAAAACATGTATAAATACTTTTTAGATGACAGACGTAAATCTATGGGACTGATTCCCTCAGGGAGATTAAGACCTGGAAAAAAGACATAACTACTACTAGTTTCTTGGATTATTGTAGCCTTGTTGTCCTATGTAAGCCACATTTTCATTAAACCTAATTAAGGAAAATGTCCGACATGTTTTATGTAATCTACTTATATATTGGTTAATTTTCTCTGTTCCCTATTAATAAATGAATTGCTGCTTATATTAAGGTGATTTTTGGAAAAGGTCCACATTAGCACTCTAAAGATAATTTTTCGGTTGTCTTTTTGTCAATTAGATGTATTGTAATTGAAATGTATTGGATAAAAACAAAGGCTGCAATTTGAAATCCTTCAAATGTAAACTATGATTGAAATTCTTTTATCTCTAAAACCATGCAAAGAAATAGAAACATGTTCATCTGGGGAAGTAGTCAATCAGCATGGGGAAGTACCACCCTCCGTCCACTAGATGGCCACCATGCATCGTTGAAGTACCACTTTCTCACATGGGCTACTTTGTTTTCTATTTACTTCCAGTCTTCCGCGACACATTCATAATAAAGTTAGGACCGTCTTACACTAATGTCTATGGTCTTACATATCACTATGAGGTAGTCTAAATTAGTTTCGGAATCGCGCTGTTGGACCGAAGAGACTATTTAAAAAAAACAACAGGAGCGTTCCATATTTTTATTGCTTTCTACGTCTTTATCTTTCGCAATGGGGACGGCACTGATTTATGATGAGGAAATGACCAAATACAAACTGCTCTGGGTTGAGTAAGTTGGAAATATATTTTTTAAGCTTACTCTTGTTTAGAAGCGGTTTGTTAGCTACGGTCTCTGGGGGTGGGTACAGATTATACGGGGACATGTTTCCTGTACAGCAATTTAGAAAGGGACACCCGGACACAACTGTTCATCCCATAGATAAAGGCCTTCATTATGGATATCTATGGTTGATCCAGTTTATCAAATGTTTTTTATTCAATTTTACAAAATCTGTTTTTAATGTTCCTATATTTTCTATCGCCATACCTTCTTTTCGTATTTTAAAACAATAAATGCGAATTTAGAACATAAAAATATCAACCTGAATTTAACTACCAACTAAAAAATATTACTTTGAATAAAACCATGTTTACATAAAAAAGGCCAAACATAATCTTTATATATTAAATTTAAAAAAGGAGAGAAAACAATTATTAACATCCTTCTGTCTAAATGCATAATGCATTCATTCATTTGCTATTAATAATTATAGTATTAGTATAGTTTGGTTACATAGTTTTAATTTTGATACTGACTTTAGTAGAATAATATAGTAAATTCCTTATTTAACTAAGTTGTTTCTAGGAATCGTGTTTGTACAAAGTACACAGCCTGCTCTTCTTATAATTTGTATAAATAAATAATATAATAGCGATTTATCATTTAGTTTAAACTGAATAATTAGTTTGAAGTATTTCCAGACTCAGTTTTGAAGTTTTTAAAAAAAGGAAAAACAGACTGGCCTTCTGTCTTCTGTCAAGACTTTCAATGGGTCGAGGCTCTTTAACTCGTCATTCTCCATTTAGCAAAAAAAAACAAATTTACCACTCTAAAGCTTTTTAAATATCCCAATAAAATCATTTTAAAATGCAGAGGAAGCATTTTAATCTTTTTAAACCTATTGATATGTATTTACAATATAATTACAGTTATTATATGTTTTAGGTTTGTATATCCGGATCGAGTAACAAAAGTAATTTCCCTCTGAAATCATTAAAGTATGTCTGATTCTGATTCTGACTCTTCTTCCTGCAGCCCGGCATGTAAGATAGAGGTTCCTGAGCGTCTGACGGTCAGTTATGAAGCCTTGGTTAGGAGCGGTCTGTCTGACCGCTGCGTCTCTATACCTCCTCGTGAGGCCTCAGACGCAGAGATACTCCTCGCCCACAGGTCAGTCCTGATTGCTTCTATGTGGCCAAAGGCTGTAGAGCGGGCTCCTTATCAGACGCTTCATTTGTGGTGACTAACTCATCAGTTAGTCACCACAGCACCTCTAGTCCCTTTTAAACTTCTCAGGTTGATTGTTTGCATATATAACAGCTTTAATGTTCTTTTTTTTTTTTGAAATTATTAGCATATAGGCATCATGGAGAAAAGCAGAGAAAGGGATTCAGGAATAATTAATGATTATAAGCTCTTCATTAATAGGAAATTTTCCCAACAGTGAGGAGTATCTGGAGGCGGTGAAAAAGACTCCCTACATGACCCTGGAGGACTTGAAGGAGTTCACCCTTCAGTACGGCGATGTCTACTTCCACCCAGTTAGTCTGCTACTCAGCAGCTGTGTATGACCTTTGTTTCTCTGTGCTCCCGTGGTGGCATTGCTCACTTTTTATGCTTGTTTACTTCTCTAGAATATCTACCACTGTGCCAAGCTGGCTGCTGGGTCCGCTCTGCAGCTGGTGGACAGCGTGATGACAGGGAAGGTCAGGAACGGCATAGCTCTGGTCAGGTAAAACTCTAAACCTGCTCTGATGATGAACTGTGTCCATTTTATCAGGATTTATTTGTTTCATACACCTACTTTGTTGCAAGGAGGTTTTCAGTCTCTATTCCTGATTATTGCCATAATGAATGGTAGGAAACTATGAGTTCATACTGTCATATAAGGAAAAAAATTACATATTTTCCATTTCTGCTGGTAGACCACCGGGACACCACAGTATGCGCAGCGCTGCCAATGGTTTCTGTGTGTTCAACAATGTAGCCATAGCTGCACAGTATGCCAAACAAAAACATGGAGTCAAAAGGTATTTCCTCATTTCTGTTTTTCTGCATTTTCTCCAACTTATATGAGATCTGCATTAACTTAAAGCAACTTAAACGTTTCATTTCCAGGGTGTTGATAGTAGACTGGGACATTCATCACGGTCAAGGGGTGCAGTATTGCTTTGAAGATGATCCGAGGTTCAACAGCAGTTATAGCCTGAGAACATGTAGCAGGCTTAACAGGCTTAATGTTTTATTTATTATATTTATCTTGGTATTTTACAGTGTTCTCTACTTTTCTTGGCACCGATATGAGCATCAGAAATTCTGGCCTAATCTCAGAGAGTCAGACTATGACAGCGTCGGCAGGGGCAACGGAGCTGGCTTCAATGTAAACGTTCCTTGGAATAAGGTGATTAAACACAAAAGGTTAGCCTTGGGTTAAAGATGTTTAATGGATATTTGACATTATTATTGGAGTTTTTAATATAAATAGCAGTCAGACTGGAAGCACACACACTATCCTACGCACCTAAAGATAAAGATGTTGTGTTTAATCTATGAATAGCATTTCTAGCAGAGGCCTCTTTATGGTTTTCCAGGTGGGAATGGAAAACAGCGACTATCTGTCCATCTTTTGCCACGTTCTTCTGCCGGTAGCTTATGAGGTGAGACATTTTTAGAAGTCTTTTTTATATTTATACTGAAGTGTTATCACTACTTTTAGCTGATATGAGTCTTGCTCACAGTTTTGCCCAGACTTGGTGTTGGTGTGCGCAGGCTTTGACTCGGCCATCAGTGACCCAGAGGTACCAAAACAAAACAAAAAAATATAGTTTTTTATTATTCTTGTGTAAAGCTCCCTTATTTACACTTTGAATTACCCCGTCTCTTACACCTGCTGAACGTTTTTAGGCTATTTGTGAAAAATCGTCTAATTGTTTTGTTTTCAGGGAGAAATGTGCGCCACTCCAGACATCTTTTCCCATTTAACTCACCTTCTAATGAACCTTGCTGGGGGAAAGCTATGTGCTGTGCTGGAGGTCAGAGAAGCAGCTGTAACCTGCGGTGTCTATTTTTTACTGATCACTAAATCTTTTCTTTTTTCCTTTTCAGGGAGGATACAACCTGACTTCTCTCCCACAGTCGGTGTGTCAGACTGTTCAGACTTTGCTTGGAGACCCACTGCCTCAGCCTGCAGGCCTTAGGAGTCCGTGCAAAAGGTTTTTATCACAAAATACCTTTTAAGGTGGCATCAAACCCCAATGATTTAATTAACTTTATGGGACAGAGAAGGGGCCTGCAACCTTTCAAATTCTAGGAGCCATTTTACCCACAGCCCAGCTAAATTAAAGTCGTTTAGAGACGTAAATATTTCATGAACTTTAAATAAAACACTACTTATTACTTTTGTTGAATATCTGCAAATTATTTTGCCATTTTATTAAACCATAGGTTTTTTTTTTTAGTTTTAGCCCTTTAACACCAAGTGGATGACATTTGAGAGTTAAGACCTCTGCATCATCAGGGTGATTTTTTTGTTCTTAAAAAACTGATTTATACAATAAGATAAACACAGTGAACAAACAATCCATCATGAATTGTACAGCAAAGTTTTATGTATCATAAAGCGCACAAATAATTTAAATAATCTAATTTAGATGATCTATAATTGACGTGTTGTTCAATAGTTTTTAAAAATATAACATTTTCAGTCAGTAATTTCATGGTTTAGGCTTTCAAGGTTCTTTTCTTAAAGAAACATTTCTTAAAGAGGAAGCTTGAACATTTTTTTTTGTAGGAGATTATGTAAAAAAAGAAAAAAAATGAACACACATTTTCTAAGCTACTAGATCTAAAATCATATTTCTGCCTCTTTAAATTCGACCTGTTAAGAAAATTACCTTTAAATATTCTTCAAAAACACAAAATCTTGTATTTATCAATTTACTATATTCTTATTTTATCATCTTTAACCACCATTGTAGAGGCTCCTACTAGCCGCTTGCAGATTTGTAGAATCAGGTAGCATACTCGGGTCAGACAAAGCAGAGTGTTTGATATATGATTTACACACAGAAATGGGAAGTGTTGTGTGCAGTTATATTTACCCCTACTAAGTCATTATGCAGTGTTTTTTTAGATATGTTTCTACAGTCTTTGCATATCTAGAAACTAATATCTGTCCTAGTTTTCTTTGCAAAGCAACAAATAAGTGTAGATTATCTGTTAAAAGCATTTGTAAAGTCTTGTAAAGGGTGGCTTTGTTTGGCTAATTTTAACACATTAAAATGCTTTAATGATCCTGAGTTTCTAAATTTTTTTTAGCTTGTGATCAACATAACACCAGAATGGACCTGCCACGACCCAAACCAAAAGGTTTCTGGAAATCATCTAACAATTAGTATGATGATAACAATCTTTATTTGTTTACTTTATTTCTGTAGAGCAGGGGTGGGCAATTCCAGTTCCTGGGGGCCGGTATCCTGCAACTTTTAGATCCATCCTTGGTCCAACACACCTGAATCAAATGGCTGAGTTACCTCCTCAGTACGCAGTCGGTTCCTGCAGAGTCCTCCCGATTATCTGAGTACTTGATTTAGGTGCGTTGAACCCAAGGCACATGATACCGGCCCCCAGGAACTGGAATTGCCCACCCCTGCTGTAGAGCATGGTTATCCAACCCTGGTCCTCAAGATCTACTCTCCTGCAGATTTTAGATGTATCTCTGCTTCAGCACACCTTAATCAATGACTGAATTACCTTTTCAGCATATCATCAAGTTTGGCAAAGGCTTGGTAAAAAGCCAATCATTTGATTCAGCTGTATTGGAGCAGGGATGCATCTAAAACCTAACCTGACAACAGCCAGATGCATGTCTCGCTCCGCCTAGCTCTGATTGGAGCTGGGCGGAGCGAGACATGCATCTGGCTGTTGTCAGGTTATCTAAAACCTGCAGGAGAGTAGATCTTGAGGACCAGGATTGGAACCACTACTGTAGAGGATCTCTACACCCAGGGATTTAACTCGCTCACAGTTTAGTTTTCACAGGTATCAGCTTTTATTTAATTATTTTCCTGCCCTCAGCATAATGCTGCCACCCAAAATAAAAACCCTTTTGTGTTCTAGCCATCTGCTGCGCCCCTCTTTGTTCATAAAGCTAAGCATTATAAGCTAGCAATAACTCTTAAGACTTTCACAGGGTCAAAGAAACAGCCCTCATTGTTTTATTTCAAAAAGAGGAAGAGTTGGTTTAAGGGTATCAGAATAAAGGGTCTAATTATAAAGCATGCCGCACATCACAAGCTAAAAAGAGAAAAGCATGTTATACTTTGCTCCCATTTTAGAATGATGCTTTACTTTGTGTTTATCCATTTTTTGGACTAAAAACATGGGAGTTTGTTGTTGTAACTTGATAGAAGCTGTGTTATTGCTGTTTTCCAGTGCACTCGAGTCCCTGCAGTGTGTCCGATCAGCTCACAGGCGGTACTGGTCCTTCCTGAAACATGCAGGTAGAACATTCTTCACTACAGTGGTGCAGATTTCCCTGTTTTCCACACATGATCTCTCATCGGTTGATGACAGAGATTGGCTTATTAAAAAGCATTTTCATTTAGAAACTTTACAGATGTTCTCTTTTACATGTTAAACCTGTTTTCACCCCCTTGTAACACTAACTAAAGTGCAGCAAATTCTGCCAAAAATGAATTAAAGTGCAGAAAACTTAATTTTCTCTCCAGTGTAGATAATTACTTTTCTACTTCTTGACTCGTGGGATTTCTCGCTTCTCCAGCCAATCAACCTTCAACAGATATCAGCACCAAACGCATTAAATTGGCAAATGAAGAGGAGGGAAGGACAGAAATGGCAGTAGAAGAAAGGGCCGCCGAGATAAAAGAGTGGCCTGAGCCTCCAGAGCGTCCCTCTCCTCCTGTACGCTGTGCGTCGCTGCTCCCTGAAGACGTGGCTTGCCCAGACGGATTGAAACTCTTCAGCTCCTCCAAAGATCTCCCTCCACTTTTAGCCAGCAAGTTACAGTGAGAATTACTCAGAGTAACACACCTTATTTTATGAGTATTATTAGGTACTTTTTACTGATCTAAGCGGTTTCTTTAAGGAATGGTGCTGATGACCAGGATGCTCTCATAACTGTCTCAAGACTTTATGCCATGATTGAGAAAATGCTGACCAATGAGGTGAAAATCTAAATATTTGTTTCTTTGTCCTCCCTCTGCTAACTTGCTAGCGTTAGCTTTATGCTGATATAACTTTAATGCTTTTCAGATTGGAAGCGGCTTGGTGCTGATCTCTGACATCTCTGCAGCCATGATGGGTGCCCTCCAGGATCTCCCCTCTGATCTTGTCGACCGGTACAGAAATCCAGCTGCTGTTAAACATTACTGCATGGAAATATTTCTGTCAGCAGCGTTTTGGAACATGATCATTTTGGTTTTTAATGAGACATCATGGCCCATTCCTCTGTGGTAAAGTCAAAGCCGTATTTACCAGACTTTAGGCAAACCTCGTATCTTCTACTCTACTCTTCTACAGGGTTTCTGCAGGTCGTTAAAAATCAATAAAAGTCAGTAAATTAATATTTTTTAAATTAAGTCCTTAATTGGCATTAAAATTCATTAAATCTGATTATCGTGGCATTTAAAACGCTGTAATAAAAAAAAAAATTTATAAAAACAATTTCGACCTATATATCAGATATAACTGGTTCCGCGTGTTTGTGCGGAAATGCTTGCGGTTGATCGCAAAGCCATATGTATGGAAAAGAAAGTTGAGGCGGGAAAAAGCTAGAGAATGGGAAAATGCTAATTTCACCAAAAGTGGCTGGAAAACGAGAAATTTAGGGCATGGTTTTATATATATACATACATACACTGCTGTTCAAAAGGTTGGGGTCACATTGAAATGTCCTTATTTTTTAAGGAAAAGCACTGTACTTTTAAATGAAACAGGCTACTGTGGGTACTATTTAATGAAGATGCTAGTTGGGGACATGTGAGGAGTCTGTTTCTCAAACTAGAGACTCTAATGTACTTATCTTCTTGCTCAGTTGTGCAACGTGGCCTCCCACTTGTTTTTCTACTCTGGTTAGAGCCTGTTTGTGCTGTCCTCTGAAGGGAGTAGTACACACCGTTGTAGGAAATCTTCAATTTCTTAGCAATTTATCGCAAGGAATAGCCTTTATTTCTAAGAACAAGAATGGGCTGTCGAGTTTTTGATGAAAGTTCTCTTTTGCTGGCCATTTTGAGGGTTTAATTGACCCCACAAATGTGATGCTCCAGAAACTTAATCTACTCAAAGGAAGGTCAGTTTTGTAGCTTCTGTAACGAGCTAAACTGTATTCAGATGTGTGAACATGATTGCACAAAGGTTTTCTAATCATCAATTAGCCTTCTGAGCCAAAGAGCAAACACATTGTACCATTAGAACACTGGCGCGATAGTTGCTGGAAATGGGCCTCTATACACCTATGTAGATATTGCACCAAAAACCAGACATTTGCAGCTAGAATAGTCATTTACCACTTTAGCAATGTATAGAGTTTATTTCTTTAAAGTTAAGACTAGTTTAAAGTTATCTTCATTGAAAAGTACAGTGCTTTTCCTTCAAAAATAAGGACATTTCAATGTGACCCCAAACTTTTGAATGGTAGTTTATATATATGTGTCTGTGTGTGTGTATTTATCAGAGTCATGGGTAATTGTTGATGGCATTAAAATAATTTCTAAGAGCATTAAATTAGAGTTACTCATTCCTGTATAAACCCTGTTCTAGGCTCTCTTTAGAAAGTTTGCTCTTAAAAACATAACCACAATATCCACCAGAGATATCTATAGTGTGTCTGCAGAGCTTTAGAGGTCCAGTTCTTGTCAAATTATTAGAACTTTTACTGATTTAATGTGTTCCCTCTATGAGCCACAATCGGATGTTCAATCCCATTTAAAGGATGAGGTTTCAGACCAGCCTGATGATTTAGTTGTTTTACTTTTCTTTCTTTTAGGGTTTTGGTTGTTTGTGTGGGCAAAGAGAAGGATCTGAATTATTTGACCACTGATGGGTAATAGACATTTAAAATTCATTATAAGTTTTATGACGTTTTACTTAACAAGTTCACAGCAGGAATCAAACATTTGAACAGATCTGTCTGTTTTTAGGAAAATGCTTTTTGTACAAATCAGCGATGAAGACAAAGAAAAAGAGAAGAACAAATATTTTATTCCAGTCAGTTTAAAGAAGGTGAGAAGACTTTAAAGAAACAAACACATTAGTAGGAGTGTTTAAGAAAAAACACGGATGTGTGGAGTTTACTTGTCCTCTTTTAGGGATGCAGCAACACGGCCGGGTTCATCCAGGCGGTCCTCGGCCTCCTCCTGCCTCTAGCGTACGAGTATGACCCCACTCTTGTCCTTTTGGTTCGCACACCTGGAAGCGGAGTGAATGACAGCATGTGGCAGCAACTCATTGGTCTGCTGCTGGGCTTTGCAAAGGGACACGCTCTGGTTCTGATGCAGGTGAGACTATTGGAGCAAATTTTTAATAAAAAAATCTTTATGCGCAAATTATCTTCTTTATGTTTCAGACGAATGAAAAGGCACATGTGGGCCCCACTGCTTCCGCCCTGCTTGGTCGGCCTGCGCCTCCTCTGATGGAGCTTCAGACTCTGGACCAAGAGGATGGAGAAGCTTTGGAGAGACTGAGAGAGAGGCTGCAGATTGACTGGAAAATGCTGCAAACAACAAGCGAAGGGACTGAGGAAACCCTTCCATGTTAGGCACCAGTGCAAACTCTCAAGGCTCATGATTAGCTGTAGGACCCTGGAGGAATTACGAAAAAGCTATATGTATCTTGATGCCGTTTATGTCCGAGGAACTGAAGAAGATATAGTTGATTTATTTTTTGCCAGGTGTTGCACTCATCACAATGAACAGATTTTAAGCTTGTATATTGCTGCCTGAGCTGTTCCTCTGTTTTTTTAACCCCTAAAACATGTTTCGATCAGTAATGTTGAAAAATTATGTCATACAGTCTTGCATTAATTATTTTGCATATTTTAGTTAATAGAATTGCTAGAAGTGGACGACTAATGAATCCAGAGATGTTTCCTGTGTTTATACTGGAAGTGTGACTGAAATAAAGTGTCTTTTTTATACTGAAGCAGCTCAAAGGACCAAACTAAAATGCTGGCAATGATTAAAGCAGACCTTATCACTGGTGTGTTTATGGGTGGTTTGTAAATTTAAAATGTTAAACATTGGAGTATTTGGATGCCAGGGGAGAATTTTTCCATGAAGTGAAAATTGTTAGAGTAGTTAGACCTCAAGGGACTGATCTGGTGTTTTCAATTTCTCACTTTGGTTTTTATTTTATTCTGGAGAATTTTCATCTCCCAAAGTAATATTTTGCACATTCTCATTTATTCACATCTTAATGCTTATATTAATTTTAGTGTGAAATTCTACACATTTTTGTGCCTGATCTTTTTTTTTTATCATAGTGGATTCATTCTATTGGTTTTGCACTTTGTTAGCAGCTGTTATTTCTTCTCCATTTGGTGGTCTGCTGTGCTAATTAGTTTATGTAGTCAGTTGGGGTTCTACTGTTCAAAAAAGTATGTTTTTTGAACAGTAGAAATTCAATTTTTGAAATTAAATCTTTTTGTTGCATTTTTTTTTCAGTCTATGAGTTTATTCCTTTTTGCATGGCACAAACAGAGGTTTGGTTACATTCAAAGCACCTCTGAAAGCTATGAGGCTTTGGGTGTTTAATTATGCATTAGATCGCTTTTCCTGGCAGCTTTGATAATTAACATTGTTGTTTCCTGAGACTAATTTGATCCTAAAAAGATAATGACTTGGACTGATGCTGAAGCTGTCAATAGTTACTGCTACCACCCTCTGGTTTAGTAGGGAACTGCTTCTCTCCTCCATAAATCCTTATCTCATGATGTTAAACCAAGAAATATTGATCTTTCATTAGGCTAACTTCCATCTAACATGTGCTTATTTAAACATTAGTTTTGGTTAGGTAACTGAAGTTATACAGGTGCTGGTCATAAAATTAGAATATCATGAAAAAGTAGATTGATTTCAGTAATTCCATTTAAAAAGTGAAACTTGTATATTATATTCATACATTACATACAAACTCATATATTTCAGATGTTTATTTTGTTTAATTTTGATGATTACAAATGACAACAAATGAAAATCTCAAATTCATCATATCAGAAAATTAGAATATTACTGAAGACCAATAAAAACAAAGGATTTATAGAAATGTTGGCCAACTGAAAAGTATGAACATGAAAAGTATGAGCATGTACAGCACTCAGTATTTAGTTGGGCCTCCTTTGGCCTGTATTACTGCAGCAATGCGGCGTGGCATGGAGTCGATCAGTCTGTGGCACTGCTCAGGTGTTATGATAGCCCAGGTTGCTCTAATAGTGGCTTTTAGCTCTTCTGAATTGTTGGGTCTGGTGTATTGCATCTTCTTCTTCACAATACCCCATAGATTTTCTATGGGGTTAAGGTCAGGAGAGTTTGCTGGCCAATTAAGAACAGGGATACCATGGTCCTTCAACCAGGTACTGGTAGCTTTGGCACTGTGTGCAGGTGCCAAGTCCTGTTGGAAAATGAAATCTGCATCTCCAAAAAGTTGGTCAGCTGCAGGAAGCATGAAGTGCTCTAAAACTTCCTGGTATGTGGCTGCGTTGACTCTGGACCTCAGAAAACACAATGGACCAACACCAGCAGATGACATGGCACCCCAAACCATCACTGACTGTGGAAACTTTACACTGGACTTCAAGCAACGTGGATGAAGTGCCTCTCTTCTTTTCCTCCAGACTCTGGGACCTTGATTTCCAAAGGAAATGCAAAATTTACTTTCATCAGAGAACATGACTTTGGACCACTCACCAGCAGTCCAGTCCTGTTTCTCTTTAGCCCAGGCAAGACGCTTCTGACGCTGTCTGTGGTTCAAGAGTGGCTTGACACAAGGAATGCGACAGCAGAAACCCATGTCTTTCATACGTGTGTGTGTGTTGGTTCTTGAAGCACTCACTCCAGCTGCAGTCCACTCTTTGTGAATCTCCCCCACATTTTTGAATGGGTTTTGTTTCACAATTCTCTCCAGGGTGCGGTTATCTCTCTTGCTTGTACACTTTTTTCGACCACATCTTTTCCTTCCCTTCGCCTCTCTATTAATGTGCTCGGACACTGAGCTCTGTGAACAGCCAGCCTCTTTAGCGATGACCTTTTGTGTCTTGCCCTCCTTGTGCAAGGTGTCGATGGTCGTCTTTTGGACAACTGTCAAGTCAGCAGTCTTCCCCATGATTGTGTAGCCTATAGAACTAGACTGAAAGACCATTTAAAGGCTTTTGCAGGTGGGTGGTTTGAGTTAATTAGCTGATTAGAGTGTGGCACCAGGGGCCATCAATTTTGAACCTTTTCACAATATTCTAATTTTCTGATATGATGAATTTGAGATTTTCATTTGTTGTCATTTGTAATCATCAAAATTAAACAAAATAAACATCTGAAATATATGAGTTTGTATGTAATGTATGAATATAATATACAAGTTTCACTTTTTAAATGGAATTACTGAAATCAATCTACTTTTTCATGATATTCTAATTTTATGACCAGCACCTGTATATATATATATATATATATAAGGTTTAGTAGTTTGTGTGTAAACAACAAATCTTCCTGCACTGTGGGACACTCAGGCTATATTATGTAACTGACCAATCAGACCACATTTATACCTGAAGATTGTTTCAAACGTCCCTGATGTCACTTGATCCAGCCATGACCTTCTATATGTGATTCACGAGCTGCATATTAAACCCTCAGCTGTTGCTGAGCTGAAGCATAATGCTGCCACCGCCATGCCTAACAGTTGTGTAATGTTCTATGGTCTATAATCTTCATCCAGCTCCATTCAAACACTTTTGTTTTGTCTTTGTGGCCAAAGAGCTGATGCATTGACTCAAGATCATAAAGATTGTGTGTTATGAACCTTCAAAAGGACAAAAAGTATCAAAACTGTTTCTTGTAATCGATAAAGCTGGCTACTGTCTGCATAGCTTCATTCTTGGTAAAAAAAAACTATTTGAAACTCTAACACCACATAAACAACAAGAACAAATTAAGATTTAGAAAAATCCCTCCTATGTTCAAAGCCATGTTTAAATTGAATGTTTTTTTTAATAGATTGAAGCTGTTTGTTATTTGATATAGAGACAAACAACCCTAAAAAGCAGATGGCCGCTCACACTGAGCCTGGTTCTGCTGGAGGTTTCTTGCTGTTAAAAGGGAGTTTTTCTCTCTACTGTCGCTGCAAGCATGCTCAGTGTGAGGGATTGCCTTCCAGTCAATGAGTCGATGCAATCAACTGGTTTTCCTTAAATAGAATACTTTGAATCTGTTTGGCTGTATGATCTGGTGAACTGCAAATTGCATTGAGATGATGTGTGTTGTGAATTGAATGAAAGTGAAATAAACTGAGTAAAATGAATTGTATTAAATTGAATTAAAAAAATCACTCAAACGGATAAAAACTAAATATGAATTACCCCTAAATAAGCTTTTTCTATATACATACACAACAGGCTCAAATTAGAAGACTTTTATTATTATAATTATCATTATTTGGTTTCTTTAGGTAACATTGTGTGCCTAAATCTGCTTGAATCTGCTTAAACATCAGTCGAGGGTTTTATCTAGAGTTCCACTTAGAATGAAAAACTCCCATTGGCCCCCTCTGGGTTTTAGGGACATTTCATTGCTTCTACGTCATCTGGACTAATTTAGATAAGTGAGTCTGCAGCCCTTGTTCTTAAGTCTAAAAAAAAAAAAAAAAAAAAAAAAAAAAAAAAAGGGAGAGATAGACTAATTATAGCTGAGACCTTTCCGTTAACGACATCTGCAGACCTGTGGGTGGCGCTGTGGTTTTGCTGCAACTAATAGAGATTTTTTCCTCTCCTGTGATTCATTCTGCGTAAAAGCCAAACCACCGCTGACTCCTTGAATGAAGCCTGATGACTGAACTGCGTGTTTTGATTGGATCATCCTAATGCAGGCTTGGGAGGAGTGAACAACAGAGACCGGACAGGGTGGCAGTCAGTCAGGGAGAGAAAAGCAGAGAAAAGCATGTCTCTGACTCCGAGCGCATCTGCCAGCCTGCAGCCTGCAAAGATGAAAAAGGACGAATCCTTCCTGGGGAAATTAGGAGGGACCTTAGCGCGAAAGAAACGAGCTAAGGAAGGTAAGTCTCTAGTTTTTCTTTATTAAAAAATACATTTTTATAATAAAAAGTCATCCTGTGTTTCTGTCCATGGTGCTGCAATCACATGACGCGCTCTGAGAAAAAACCTTAATCTCAGAGAAGAGTAGGAGCATTATTAAAAAACACAAACAGAAGTGAGGCTGATAAAGTTAACAGTTCTCTAAAGGCTGAATGACGTCTATTTATATAAACAAAGACTTCATAGCAACTCCTCTGGCACTCAGGATGAAGCAAGTTCATATAAATAGATCAAATACGCAGTGACCTGTGATTAGAAATGCTAATTAATAAGGATGTTTAAAAATATGGTGACTGTAAACCACCTTTTTACTTAGTCTGTGGACTCAGACTGTTTTCCGCCCTTCAACAGGCCAGTTTGGTCAGAAGGACAGCTGCAAAGGTTTACCAACCTCAGTGTGTGTGTGTGCCTTTCACAGCCATGTGTTTATAATTTCCACCAGAGCAGGGCCACCAGCAGGAGGTCAGAGACACTTTAATTGTTTAAGAGCCTCCCTGAATTCCAGT